CTTCTCTTTTTGGTTTCTTCAACTTTCCTTTGTATCTGGCTCTTTCCCCTTACAAAAAATATTCAATTTTCTCCCAACTTAAAGAAAGGCTCTTTTAGTTCCAATTACCTAATGCCTGAGCTCTTCTCCTTCACACTTAAGCTTTCCTCAATGAAAACTTTTCCACTGAAGTATAACATATATACAGAAAAAAGCACAAATTTTAAGTGCTCAGCTCAATAAATTTTCGAAGTGAACCATCCATGTAACTCCCACCCAGATCAATATATAGAACATTACCAGCAACCTAAATGTCCTCCTCACTTCCGTTCCTCCCTCCTTCCCAGATATAACCATTAACATGATTTCTATCACCTAGTTTTGCCTGCGTTTTACTTTATATAAGTAGAACTGTACAGTACACATACTCTTACATTTGGGTTCTTTAGCCTAACAATTTTATGAGATTGATCCATTTTCATTTATACAGTATTCTACTTTATAAATATACCAAAACATTTTTATCCATTTGCTGTTGATGGATGTTTTGGTTGTATCCAGAATTTGGCAGTTAGGAATAGTGCTGCTATGAATATTCTTGTGCACGCCTTTTGGGGAACTGTGAAGTTAGAGGGAGTACAGTCAACAAGACCATCCTTACTTCTGACACCAACTGCAGATTCAGGAGTCCCCAAGACCTCCCTTAGTTTTGATAATTTGCTAGGACTCACAGAACTCACTGGAAGCTGATACACTCATGGTTTCAGTTTATGCTGCTTCATTTCGATGCATTTTCCCTGGGTGATATCTTCTACTTATATCATTTCAACTATCATCTATATGCCGACGATTCCCAAATCTGTATTGCTACCCAGATCTCTTTCCTGAGTCCAGATGCAGCTGCCTACTAAAGTATATCCACTTGTATATATGGCAGGCGCCCGAAACTCAACATGTCTAAACCTGAATTTATCTTCCTCCATAATTCCTACTTCTCCTGTATTTTCAATTTCAGGTAATGACATTTCTATCCATCAAGTTAGGCAACTTAGAACCACAGGAGCCATTCCCGAGCCCTTTTTCTCTCTACCTCCTCACCCAATCATCAAGTTCTAAGTTTCTTCCTTCTTGTTATCCCTCTAAACTGTTTTCTGCAGATTCAGGCTTTCATCATTCCTCCCTTGAATAATGCAATTATTCACTGCTGCCAATGTTGTCTGCCCCAAATCCATGTGTCTTGTTGCTACTAGAATGGTATTTCATAAATGCAAATATAATCGTATCATTTTCCTTAAAGCTCCTCAGTGGCTCCTCGCTGCCACCAAGACAGTGTTCAAACTTTATATGATGACATAAAAAGCTATGATATAACTGCCTATCTCAACTTTCACTAATTCATACACTTATTCTCCCACCAAATTTTTGAGTACCTACTCTAATGTTAGACATCGTGCTAGGCAATGGGAATATAAAAAAGAACAAAGCAGTAATAGTCTTCCCCTAGTCTAATGGGAGAGAAAGATAATTAAATAAGTAATTACAATTTAGCAGGATGAATTCTTTGATAAGGGGAGTTCAGGGTGCTCCAGGAGCTACAGAGAGATGGTTGGGAAGGGTTTCACAGAGGATGTGATGAATGAGGAGGACTCCGCCAGCAGAAACGTATATGTGTGGAGGGGCCAGAGGGAGGCAGAGGGAATGCCAGATGAAGACCTGGAAGAAACAGAAACATTGGAGTGTTTTAGAAATTATGACTGAAATACAGAGTATAGAGGAGCATGTGGTGAAACAGGTATGCAGGCATACCTCTTTATTTATCAGATCCCCAGAGCCTTTATTAACTATAATGAAGATAAAGAGTTTATGTTTTATTCTGATGGAAATGGGAGCCACTGAAGGGCTTTTAGGCAGGGAGAATAATAATCAGATTTCTATTTTCTAAAGCTCTGTCTATTGTGTGGGGAATGGATTAGAGGTGGCAGACTGGAAGCAGGAAGACTTTTGCAATAATTTAGGTGAGAGATGGTGGCAGTAGACATGGAATCAAGGGGATGGATTTGAGGGCTTTTTGGGGGTAGAATCGAAACTACTTTGTGATTGATTGGAGGTGGGAGGTAAAGAAGCAGCAGCCAAATAGGACTTTGTTGTGTTTGCGGCCATACTGTCCTTGTATGTGTTCCTGGAACACACCAAGCAAGTTTTTGCCTTAGGGCTATGTACTTGCTTCCCTTAGCTAACCCTGGATCTTTACATGACTGGCTTCTTCTCTGCATTCAAATCTCAACACAAAATTAGCTCCTCAAACATGCCTTCCTTCCTACCCTCCGAACAGCCAATGGTAGCCACCCTACCAGCCGTTCTCTATGACATTTCCATGGGTTTTTTTCTATCATTTATCACTATTATCTTATTTTATTCTATTTTATCCTATCCTGTCTATTTGCTTGAATGTAAACCCCATTAAAGCAGACATCTTGTCTGTTTTGCTTACCACTAAATCCTATTATTTCAAAAGAGTCTGGCAAATAGAGAACACTCAATAAATAGGAAGTTTATCTCTTGCCATTTCTCCTCCTATTCTAATCCCAGCCATAATGAACAAATTACAGTGCTCTAAATACGCTGAGTAGCTTTGCTTGCGTTGCTTCCTCTGTGTAGAATCCCCTCCCCACCCTTTCTTCTTTTTGCTAACTCCTCATTGGCCCCCAAGACTTTGTCTTTATCACATTGCATTACCTTGTCTGTTTTCCCACTGGAACAAGGAAGTTGAGGGCATCACATATTTCAAACACCTAGCCAAAATAGATAGATAACAGGCACTCGGTAAATGTTTATATGGATCACCTGGAAGCTTGTTAGAAATGCAGAATCTTGGCCCTCACCCCAGATAGAATGAATCAATCTGCATTTAGCAAGGTCTCCAGGTGATTTGTTTTCCCATTAAAATTCGAGGAGCACTACTTTAGTGATGAGAATACTCAGCCTAAATTTAACTGGGAGGCCTTGTAGTGATCCATTAGGGAAGGCAGGTATGGTAAAGAAAAGGGCATGGCACTGGGAATCCAAGAAAATCGGTTGGAATTTTTTATCAGTTACAACGCTTAAATGGTTGTTGTGAAATAATGAATATGAAAGGCCTGGTACACGGTAGATGTTTAATAAATCATAGTATCTCTCTCTCCTGGAAGATTCCAAGGCTGGTAACTAGGAGATCTGGCCTGTAGATCTGGTATTGTAACCAATTCACTAAATCATGGAACCACATAATTAGAAGGGAACTTCATATAGATACCATTTATTTTAGCAACCTTGCGTTATAGATCTAGAAACTAAGGCTCACAGCTAGACTGGAGATCAAGTCTTCCGAGTTCACTGCTCTGCCACACAGCTTCCTCATTTCTGAAACTAGGAAAATAATATCCTCTCCTATTTGTCGCACAGGTGGCATCTAATCTGTCATAAGGACGTGAGAGCTCTTTAAAAGTACAATTATTGTTTTTTAATTCTAGATTGTATTATATGTGTTGAGGTTTGTAAGATTTCCTTCCGTCAAGCAAGTTAGAGTAGACTAATATCTACTAAATTCTTTCTAAATTCATACTTTAGAGAAAGGATAGAATTTGGAGGAATTGCTACTATTGTAATTGATCATTGCAATAATCGGTTTATCATTAAACCACCTAAATCTCTTTATAACAAGACATCTAAGCCTCAGCAGATGGATTGCTTATTTTAATCAAAATAAAATTCCAAAAGAAATAAAAATCTTTTCTACGTAATAAACAGTTGAAGAGTTTATTTACTCATATCGGGCAAAAGGAAAGTTTAGGGATGTCTCCTTTTTGTAATGACTTTAGTGGTGGAATAAATAAAGCAATAGATTTATGAGAAAAGGAAACTTGAGTGGATATTCCTAGATCTGTTCTGAAAATGAGACTACTGCCCAGGCTGAAACAAATAAGAAAAAAGACTCCCCCTCGGCCCCCCCCATCCCGCCTTTGCCCTCGCCCCAACAGGAGTTATTACATATAAATCCTAGGTCAGCCCTTTACTTAAGGGCTTCTATTCTGATTGCTTTATTCCTTTCTCAGACCTTGTTAGTTTCGACCTAAGTCCTTTTTCTTAGAGAGAAGGTAAGGTTTCAGGAGGCTCAGGGTAGAGGGCTAGTTTATTCTGGAATGAGGCTGGAAGCTGGGCCAGGGTAGAAGAGGTGAACAACCTCCCAGCCCACTTAACTGAAGGAGAGTCAAGAAGCCTGGATATTTGTTCTGCCACTGACCTTGAATAAAGTCACTTGACATCTGGGCATCCTCACAAATAGGAGATAGCACTACATAGCTTCTAGTTGTAAAAATCTGATTCTACAGGTAGCAGCAGCAGCTCTAAGCATAGCTAGGAAGAAAAATAGGAAGTGGGCAAAAAAGAAGAAATGGGGAGATATTTGATTGGGAATAGGGGAGAACAAGGTTATAGGTGAGGCTTGATGGTTTGATGCCAAGGAATTGCCAACCCTGGGGTAAAAATGGACCTGTGGGGATGGAAATGAAAAGTTTTATTTCTATTTACTTTATCGTTTTTATCTCAACTATCACTTTGCCGTCAGAGTACACACCCAATGCAGCCGAACTGCTTGAGGCTTGACCTATTAATCATTTTCAGTGCAGTTTGACTTAAACCCATCATTGCTCAGTACTCTGGTTACAGAAAATCTCCAAGTAAACCAAGGGGACCTCTGTATGTTACCGTTCCGCTGATAGGCTTCACAGGATTTTAGAAGGACAAGCAACCCTGTAGAAGTAAAGGGGAAAGGGCAAAGAACAGGATACGGGATCAGGAAGGACTGGACTAGGGAAGCACGCCCGCTCTCCCCGGCGTCGCCGGACGCGGCGCGGGGCGTGCGGGGCCCCGCGGACGGACTGCATTTCCCAGGCTCCGTCGCCCACGTGGCCCCGCCCCCTCTGCCGCTGCGGTCCCGCCCCCTTCTCCCCGGGAGACTCGGCTCGGCGCCCGCCCGACTTCCCAGCGGCCCCGTGCGGCCCGGGCATGCCCAGTACGGGCGCAGCGGCCCCGGCCCTGGGAGCGCCCGGGTGGGAGTGGGCGGCTGGGCGCGGAGGAGCCGAGCTGCCCCGCGGTGGGCGAGGGGCTGGCCGGGCCGGAGTCGCGGCGGCAGAGCTGCCGGGTAGGTGCAGGCGCGGCCAGGGCATTGACGTCGCGCACCCGGCGCGCGCCAGGGGCCCTGGGCAGCCGGGGCGGTGAGGGCGTGTGAGGGCGTGTGAGGGCAGGCAGGGCCCGAGCGCTGGTGTGTGTGGTTCCGGGCGGGGGCTTCGGGAGAAGGACCCCTGGCGGAAGCGGGGCGCGGTCAGGGGGCAGGACTCTGCCCCAGGTGAGGCGCAGCTATCTTTAGCGCTTCATGCGACCGGAGGTGAGCGTGCGCCGCACCTCGTGCACAGCTGTGGTTGCCGAGGGAGACTAGTTTCCAGTCGAAATTGTCAAGGAGCCACTGGAGGAGACCAGACCAAGCGGACCCATGGGTTCGGAGGCAGTCCGTGGAGCCCCGGTGAGAGGTGAAGATGCTTACCTTTTCTGCATCTGGAGTAGGAAATGATAGCTTCCTGCTTTCTGGATTTGGGTTTGGTGTCTCAGAAATGAAAGTACACGACTTTGCCTCCGTAGGTGCCTAATAAGTTGTAATGACTGTTAGGAATTTAATGGTCGGCTGTATTTCCAGGCTTAAGAGAAGTTATTTGTCCATGGGGTGCTCTGGTTAAACAAAAAGCCTCTTTGCAGAGCTTGTGTAAAAAGAAGTCCCTACTGAAGGTTAGAGCGCCAGGGTTTTGAAGTTCGCTGTAGCCTTTCGCTTGCTGTGATCTTGGGCAAGCCATTTAACTTCGGAGACTCAGTTTTTCCGTCTGTAAAATGATGTGAACCAGATGCAGCTTATTTCCTCCAGCTCAGTTGTAGGGTTCTCCCTGTGTTATTCAGTCTCTGTGTGGCCTTTAATTGTGGCAAGTTACTTTTCTCCGTGCCTCAGCTTTTTGTCAAATCGGACAGTTCGTCAAACATTCCTGTAAGGAAGGCTGCTAGGTTCTCCGCACAAAATTGAAATGACTTGGTCCTTCAAAGGCCGTTGTTGGTCAGTAGGTGATCTGCCACTTGGTACGTGCAGAAGCCAGGTGTTAATGGCCACGGTTCTGATATCACAGCTGTTACCCTGGACGGGGACTGACCTGCCTCAAGCTCCCTGTCAGTGCGCTGTGAGAAACCCAGACTCAGTAGTTGGCTTCCTTAAACTCCCAAGCTAGCTCATTCTTTAGTGGGATTATGTTTGTATAGAAGTTTTGATTTTCATGTTATGGCACTTTATACTGAAAAAAAAAACTATGAAGAATTTTAATACCCCTAATTTATAGATGAGGAAGTAGCTGGTTAGCAGTGAATCCATGATAGTCTTTACAAACTGGTATCTTGTACATCACTGAGCATTTACTATTCACCTGCACAGAGCTATCCTGTCCCTCTGAAGTGTTTTTTGTTTTTAAGTGGGAGTATTAACAGAGGTTTCTTATCTTAGAAACTCTCTACCTGAAGCAAGTTTATCTGTGTAGGATTTGACCTCAGGAACTGATGATACACATGGTGTTGTGCAACTTGCCTTCCTACTGCTGTATTCCCTGCTCTTGCATTTCTGGGTGGCAGTAGTGCAGTTAGGTCACTAAGGTACAGTTAGGTGAAGTGGTTATAGGTCAAGTAAAGTGTGCTTATGTTTTGAAATTGGAGGCTTGTACAAGCTGCCTGTGAAATTTTGTCATTATGGTTTATCTTTTAAATTGAGAATACCCTCGATTGGTTTAGTCAGGTTTGAGAAGTTTAGAATTGAAAGTTCTTAATAAAATGTTTGAAAATGGGTTTTCCATTCACCCTAAAGACATTAGATGGGAGCACAGTATTTTAAGAATATTTATACACGTGAACTTGCAAGTTCTTAATTTTTGAAGCTAGATTTCTCATTCACCTGGGAAATCAATAAAATGGGAAAGCTGGAGTGTGTTAAAGAATATTTATACACATGAACTTTTTTTGGCCTAGTTTAAAATCTGTTTCTTGCATGCTTATTAAAATTGTACATATGTATGTATGTATTTAAAGTTGGAAAACATAGAGAGGCCTATTTGGAGGTGTTGGTGGGCAATTTCACATCGTACCTTAAACTTACCTGTGTGCTGGAGGGTCCTGTGTGTGAAGTGCATCATATTTAGTAATTTTTGTTAGAACTTTCATCTTGCCCTTGTGTTTTCATTCAAGTGTTTGAGGTTATACATCAAGCATAAATATTGTTTAAGAGGGGCCAGCCTTGGTGGCCTAGTGGTTAAGTTTGGCACACTCTGCTTTGGCAGCCTGGGTTTGGTTCCTGGGCTTGGACCTACACCACTTGTCAGTGGCCATGCTGTGGTGGCGACCCACATGCAAAATAGAGGAAGATTGGCAACAGATGTTGGCTCAGGGCGAATCTTCCTCAGCAAAAAAAAAAAAATGATATATATATATATATGTAGTTTAAGAGGATATTGAAATGTAATTATTACCCATCTCCAAATCCTCAGAAGTACTTGGAATGTATGGGAGGGATAGTTAGGGACATCAAGGCCCTAAGAGGAGACTACTGGTTCAAGAGCACATTTACCTCATGTAAAAGGGAAAGGGTGGTAAGTGATTAAAAAAAAAAACTTGTGGATTTCAGGTTTCAGCAGTTACAGGTATAATCTTGCTTAGTTCCCTGTGCTAATATCTACCTAAGTGCTAGAACCTACTGCACTCCTGTTAGAGGTGTAAGTATGTGGAAAAATGTCATCATGTAGAAATGTATGTGAAATACGGATCTTCAATTTACGATGAGGTTACACCCTGATAAACCCATCGTAAACTGAAAATATCTTAAGCCAAAAATGCATTTAACACACCTAACATACTGAGCATCATAACTTAGCCTCCTCACCTGCCTTCAACGCACTCAGAGCACTTAATATTAGCCTACAGTTGCGCAAAAATCATCTAACACAAAGCCTATTTTATAATAAAGTGTTGAATATCTCAAGTAATTTAATGAATACTGGACTGAAAGTGAAAACTGAATGGTTGTATCGGTTGTTTACCCTGGTGATTGTGTGGATGACTGGGTGCTGTGGCTCTCCGCCACTGCCCTCCAGCATCGTGAGAGAGTATCGTACCACATGTCGCTAGCCTGAGAAAAGATCAAAATTCAAAATTTGAAGTATGGTTTCTATTGAATGCGTATGGCTTTTGCACCATCGTAAAGTTGAATAACGTTGTCGAACCATCATAAGTTGGGGACTGTCTGTAACTTATTTTTAAGATAAATATTTTTTCCCCCACTATGCTCCATCTTTTTCCAGGCCCTTCATGATGAAAGATTTTGGGACGCTTCTCTCTCCCCCGTGTAGTTGGTAGTTGGGGTGGTGAAGAGATGGCTGACAGTGTCAAAACCTTTCTCCAGGACCTTGCCAGGGTGAGTACTTAACTCGTCTCTTGACCTTTTTGCTGAGAAATCCTTTAGATGTTTTTGGAATTTTTATCACACTTGTTGGGTCTTTCACATACAGATTTTCATTCTAATCCACGCTACCCAAGAGATAAGTATTACCCTGCATCTTGCTAAGGCTTGGGAGACCTGTCTAGTGAGTGTCTCTGGTATTGGAACCCTGGTCAGCTTGGCTCCAGAGCCTTTTTTTTTTTAATAACTTTTTATTTTGGAATAATTTTAGGTTTACAGACAAGTCACAGGATAGTACAGAGAGTTCCCCTATATTGTTCACCAGGTTCCCCTATGTTTAACATCTTATTTAACCATGGGATGTTCGTCAAAACTAAGCAATGAACGTTGGCACAGTGCTATTACCTAAACTACTTCATTCGGACTTAAATTACGAACCCTATCTCCGCACCTCCCCCCCCACCATTCTACAAGGTGCAGATGATGATGATCTAGGAAAAGGTCCCATAAAGATCTGTTTAGGACTTAGTCACCTAAATTACCAATAGCACAAAATTCCATTATAGTGGGTGTTTGAGGTCTAATGCACTAGTTGTAGCCCTTGTAGCTATATTCCTAGGAGCAGGAGCGAGGCCAGTTCTGATGGAGGGTGTAGGAGGGGGGTTCTTCCCTCAATGGGAGTGTTTACAAGTTTATTACCTTTGAGTAAAAGAGGGGGAATTGAAGGAGTATCTTAGGGCCAAAGAGACTTCATGCTGTGGATCAGCTTTTAATACCTTTCCCTCCTTGTCTTGCCATTCTTGTGCTATAAAATTTCAACCCTGGATCAGTTCTACGGTGTGCTGTTTAATGTTTGTCTGCCCCACTAGACTAAGCATCTCAAGTGGAGATCCTGTCTTTATCCTAGTACATGCTAGGCTCTCAGCCATTTGAACTTAACTATCTTAAATATTTAAACTTTGTGGAAGATTTAGAAGTTAAAAGCAAAATAAGACTAAAAATTACTCGTAGATAAAAGATCAGGTACACACTGTGCCAGTTTATGCTCTTATCAGTGGGTAGCACATAAACTTGCCCATTTCTCTGTATGCTGGCAGTTATCTCTAAAATTTGTTTTAGCTAATAACAGTAGGTGAAAATGCCATCCTTAAATCCAGATTGGCCATTGCTTCCAGAATGCCTTCTTCTTCCTGTTCTTCATGAAGTTGAATATCCCAGTACTACCACTCTACTTTGGACATAAATCTGTTGTGGTACTTATTAAACTAATTTTTTTTTTTTTTGGTTTACTTGTATACTTTTCCTGCTAAGTTATGTTTCTTGAGTATTTCCATATGCCCAATGTCTAGCTCATAGAAGATGCTCAATATGTAGGTGGGTGGATGAATGAATGCAGTTCTTTGAACTGGGCGATAGGCAATTCTGGTATTTGTGGCTCCTTTCTGCTATTGGAGCTCTTCCAATATGGTTGGCAAGTGCCTCTGTCACTGTCTTCATATACTTAACGGCCCTCTCCCTGGTCATATACTCTTTAAGAACATTCTCTCCTCCAGCAACACTACCAGGTTGTTTCTGCCTTATGTGGCATGCTCCTGTCCTACAGCTTTTCACATTTTACGGTAATTATTTCTTTGTGTCTCTCTCCAACCTTAGTCCAGCCCTGGTCCTTTCTAGAGACCAGTGTTGAATTTATCCTTGTATCACTAGAGTTTAAATACAGGATATAGGACATACTATAGGCATTTGATTGATATTGAAAGAGTATAGGGAACGGCAGTAACTTGGCTTTATAGTATTGATAAGTGTGGTGGGATTGGAAAACCACTATTTTGCAACCATGTTATTCAAGATTGGTTTGGGCAAGAATTGTCAATGTATGCTAAATGTAGGGGGGAGAACTTGTTGAACAGGATATTTGCATGGTCTCAGAAGTGTCTGCCCACAGATTGCTTATGAGTTACAAGAGGAAAAATTTGCAACTATACAGTGGAGAAGCAGGAAAACACCTCGACTGACTATGTAAAATTAAGGTCACCAGCAAGGACAGGCACTTCATGTGCCTCTGGATGTAATATCTGGAATGGCACACCAGCACTTCTGTGATGTTCTTGCCACAAATGTGTAACCTGGCTCCAGTAGTGAGGAAACAAACCTGCATTGAGGGAATACCATAGAGTAACTGGCCTGTATACTTCAAAAAGAAAGACAGGCTAAGGAGCTGTTTCTGACTCAAGGAGACTAAAAAGACATGACAACTAAATGCAATATGTGATTCTTAACTGAATTCTGATATTTGAAGGGTAAAAATGCTGTAGAGGGCATTATTGGGAAAAGTGGAGAAATTGGAATATGCAGTGTAGATTAAAGTATTTCAATATTAAATTTCTTGAATTGATAACTATCTTGTGTTATAAAAGAATATCATTGTTCTTAGGAAATACACTGAAGAAGTAAAAGTAAAAGGACATGATGTAGTGACCTACTCTCAAGTGATTCAGAGAAAAAAATATATATAAATAATAATAAATGTGGCAAAATACTAATCTGGTGAATCTGGAGAAGGGGTACTTGGAAGTTCTCCATTCTTGAAACTTTTCTGTATATTGGGAATTAAAAAAAAAAAAAAATTAAGCCAGGTAGCAAAGTAAGTACAGTGGTTTCCACTTTTAATTTCACTTCACCGTATGTGACTTTGGAAAGTCTTCTCTGATCTGTAATCTTCCTTCTTTAAAAATAATATCCTTGTCTGTAGGGAATCAAAGACTCCATCTGGGGAATTTGTACCATCTCAAAACTAGATGCTCGAATTCAGCAAAAGAGAGAGGAACAGCGTCGAAGAAGGGCAAGTAGTGTCCTGGCACAGAGGAGAGCCCAGAGCATAGAGAGGAAGCAAGAGAGGTAAGCAGTGGAGGCTGATGTCAGCAAAGGGCTGAGCGCCCTCCTGGAAGGCCCTTCAGGAAGTGATTGATCCTCAGTATGGAATTAAGGCCCTACATAGTGACTTGAAGTTTCAGTACCCCATCATTTGTTTTTTTGTATTTTTTCCCAAAAAAATGTTATAGGTGATTTTTTTCCCCCACATTGAATTAAACTAGGGTCTAGCAATAATCCTTGCTCAAAATGCCATGGTGCTGGGGCCAGCCTGGTGACGTAGCAGTTAGCTCCACGCATTCTGCTTCGGTGGCCCAGGGTTCGCCGGTTCGGATCCTGGGTGCGGACCTGCTCACTGCCTATGAAGCCATGGTGAGGCAGCATCCTGTATGGAAGAGCTATAACTCAACAACTATGATATACAGCTATGTACTGGGCCTTTGGGGAGGAAAAAAAGAAAAAAGAGGAATATTGGGAATAGATATTAGCACAGGGCCAAGCTTCCTCAAAAAAAAAAAATGTCATGGTGTTAAGAAAAAAAAAAATTCAGAATGGTGAATAGAGGACCCCAAAAAATATCATTTGGATTGATGGGTACTTTAGGAGACCCTGCATGGATTTATTTATTCATAGAAGAACCTCAGACATCCTCTTTTAATCTTCTCCAATCTTGGATTTTAGAAAATACATTTTTTTTCTCTTTAAGAAAAGCTGCTTCTCTAGAAATATTTTCAACCTTTTTCTCATTAACTGATATTAGGAGAACATTTGGAAACAATAGGTACTGGAAAAATAATATGGTAACAACAAAAGATGTAAAATGGAGAGCTACTGAATGACAGTATGGAAATAGCCTATATGCCTTATAAGCTAAATATGTATGGTCTTTTCCAGTGAGCCACGTATCGTTAGTAGAATTTTCCAGTGCTGTGCTTGGAATGGTGGAGTATTCTGGGTAAGTTCTTTGTCGTCAAGTTCCAGGTACTGTACAAGCATCTTCAGATTGTTGCTATATTAATGGTTCTCAATGGTTTTCTTGAAACTTAGACAAGCAGCTTTCACCTGCTGATAATGCTTAAGACCATAACTCAGGATTCTGTGCACTTGTAGTGATTTTATTCCCACTCAAAGAACACTTGCGTGCAAATGTCAGGGATAGCCCTGAATGTACGCTTGTATTTTTTTACAAAATGACTCATTCACAAGTTTTAATGTTGTTAGAGGTAACAATTTCTCTTGACATTGTCTGGACATTTTTGCCAAGAGCAACAATGAGGGGATCAGAGGGGAAGGGCAGATGGACAAGGGCGAGGTTTTCCTTGCATCTGGTTATATCAGTCTACGGGCACTGATGACTACTGAAACCCATACTTGAAAAGATTGCCTACCATTAACTGAGAACCAACACAGGATTAAGTGTAATTTGAGTACTCTGAAGGACAAGTAATTAAATATTTCCTTTGACTTGGAATTCAATACAATTCAATTTGTCTTAATCTAAACATTTCACAGGTGTTTTCAGATGTTAGCTATTTTTTTTTTTGGTAGGAAGATTAGCCCTGAGCTAACATCTGTTGCCAATCCTCCTCTTTTTGCTGAGGAAGATTGGCGCTGGGCTAACATCCGTGCCCATCTTCCTCTACTTTATATGGGACTCCGCCACAGCATGGCTTGACAAGCAGTGTGTTCGTCTGTGCCCAGGATCCAAACCTGCAAACCCTGGGCTGCCGAAGTGGAGCACACAAACTTAACCACTACGCCACTGGGCTGGCCCCTCAGATTTTAGCTTTAATTAATAAAATATTACTATGTATTTAGTACATGCCTGTATTTTGGCCTGAATACTAGTTGAAATTTCTTCTATGCCCCCAAACTGTTTTTGTGAGCAGTGTCAGATTTGTACCTCTTAGTCCAATTTTGGTGCCTCTTCAGGCCTCCAAATTTGTAAAAGGCACCTCTACCTGTAAAATAATTAACTGAAACTTGGAACTCTTGTTTTAAAATAGGGCTTTTAATGTTTACCTTATTGCTTCTTTCCTTTAGTTCAGTCTTCTCTTGTTTTATCGAGTTTTTATTCCTGTGCTTCAGTCAGTAACAGCCCAAATTATTGGTAAGTGTATATACATTGCTCTGTGCTGTCTGCCTGGGATGGAGGTGGGAGATGTTTCCCTGTCTCCCTCAGTGTATTGAGCACTTCCTATAAACCAGGAGCTTTAGATGTTTTTAACTCAAACCTCTTAACCCTTTGAATGGGTACTGTTATAGATACTACTTTATGAATGAAGAAATGGAAGTGAGTTACCAAGGTTATAAACCATCAGAAAGTGGCAGAGCTGGTATTTAAACCCAGGTGGTTTCCTGCATATTATGTACTGTTAGTCACTGTGACATCTCAGTCACCACCAGCTAAGCAGGTTTGTCTCAAGGCAGGCTGCACATATCTGTGGCTGCTCTGAAGTGGAGTTGGGGCCAGAATTTGGTGTGTCCTTGAAGAATAAGACTATCTGAAATAGGTATAGTGATGTGCTGGCAAGAAACAAAGATGTGTGGGGCGGGGGGGCTGCGAAGAATAGTCACAATCTAGGGGTTCCGTATTTGGTCTTTTGTTTTTCCATTTCTCCAGTTAAACAAACAACTCTTTCCCCTTTCTTAGGTGATCCATCACTACATGGAGATGTTTGGTCATGGCTGGAATTCTTCCTCACATCAATTTTCAGTGCTCTTTGGGTGCTCCCCTTGTTTGTGCTTAGCAAAGTTGTGAATGCCATCTGGTTTCAGGTGGGTCCAGGGTGGAATGGAGTCTGGGTCCTAGAGCATGATGGGTTGACAGGTGGCAGGTTTCAGCCTGTGAAGTTAGTGGCTATGTAGTGAGTGATTTCACAGCCTTAACCTTTCTTGGTCAAGCAGCCAGTGGGTGATCTTTGTGTTCTTGTAAAATGGAATTATTGTCTCAGGTCACCTGAGCGTCTTATTGCCAGATGTCCGGGGGCTTTTCTCACCTGGCAGGTCTGATGGCACATTGGTGGCCTTAGCTTTGGGATGGATATTGAAGTCATTTAATTCATGTTTTGGTGAGCTGCTTTCTCTGTTACAGGACATAGCTGATCTGGCATTTGAGGTGTCAGGGAGGAAGCCTCACCCATTCCCTAGTGTCAGCAAAATAATTGCTGACATGCTCTTCAACCTTTTGCTGCAGGCTCTTTTCCTCATTCAGGTGAGACTGGCCTTCTGGGCACATGGGCAGATTTAACAAAAAAAAAAGTTCACTGGAGGGAGCAGCACAAAGACAGAGTGTTGCATTTATACTGGGGCAGATACGCTTTGTCAGAGGTAATGATTTTTAAATCATTTTTTCACAGGAACTAGAGAATTTAAAAATGATAAAACAATAAGAAACATGAATTTTCCTGCTCTTCCCTGCCACCCTAGTCATTCTCCACCCTTCTGCTGTTCAGAAACTTGAAGCAACTATGAGGCTATTGGGGTAGAGGGTGATGACCCAGAGTGGCAGGTGAATAGTCTCTGCAGTTTTGGAATTAAGATTTTCCATATTTGTTCTTCAGGGGATGTTTGTGAGTCTCTTTCCCATCCATCTTGTTGGTCAGCTGGTTAGTCTCCTGCATATGTCCCTTCTCTACTCACTATACTGCTTCGAATATCGTTGGTTTAATAAAGGTAAGTATATCTAAAGAAGCTCAGAACTTGGAGGCCCAGTTTGGAAATGCAGCTGATAAGCAGACCTCTTAAACTATTCAGTACTTAGGCCATGGGCGAACCATCTTTGGAAGGAAGTAGCCTCTTTGGCAAGAAGGAACTTACATTTGGCTTAGGGAGTTTAACTCCTAACTTGGATGCTGGTGGTTAAGGCAATGTAGCATTATCTTTATGGTGCTTAATGTGATGTAACTCTGACTGAGCTGTAAGGTGGCATAAATGAGCAAGAGTTATTCTGAATTAGAGAAATCAATTTGACGTCAGTGCATTCAGATTCTTTTGGGGATATTTTTAAAGCTCTTGGCATATTTTTATGGGTGTGTATGGTTGAAAGAAGATAATTGATTTCTAGAAGATGGCTGCCTTTTTATTTGATACCTTGATTTGTTCAAGACTAATTCTGACAGGATGCTGATGTTGTAATTCATAATTCACTTAGCCTGCCAGCTTTGAAGTTGTGATTACTGAATTGTAAAAACTTTGCATACAAGCTTTATATCAAATTTGGACAGTTCTTTTTTTTTTTTTTTTTTATAATTTTATTTATTTATTTTTCCCCCAAAGCCCCTGTAGATAGTTGTACGTCATAGTTGCACATCCTTCTAGTTGCTGTATGTGGGACGCGGCCTCAGCATGGCTGGAGAAGCGGTTTGTCGGTGCGCACCCGGGATCCGAACCCGGGCCGCCAGCATCGGAGTGCGAGCACTTAACTGCTAAGCCACGGGGCCGGCCCAGATTTGGACAGTTCTAATGCATACACTTTAAACTGTGTTCTAAATGGCAGATCTGTACCTAAAACTCAAACCTCGAATAATTTGTCTACCATATTTAGTCTTTTGACTAAAAGGAAATACGCAATCTAATTGTATTGGCTCCCTTGTTTTAGGAATTGAAATGCATCAGCGGTTGTCAAACATAGAAAGGAATTGGCCTTACTACTTTGGGTTCGGTTTGCCCTTGGCTTTCCTCACAGCAATGCAGTCCTCATACATTATCAGGTAATTTGGCTGGAGGGACTTGAAGAGGACTAGTAAAAATGAAGATTCAATGTAGGGAGCACCATCTGTATGCCTGGTTCTGTGCTTGGCATTCTGCATTCTTATTTGGCCATCAGGACGTCTGTAGGATTTTTTTTCCCTTGATAGTCATGGACATTTGTCAGCATTAAAATCTAGTCTGTATGATCTTATATTCCATATTCTTTCTTCTATGTTGCGTCCTGGGGCAGTGTTAAACATACCCAATGCTTAGAAAAATCTTTTGGTTTTTTTTTTGAACGATGTGTTTGATATATTAAGGTTTTATCAAGCCATGAAGTTAGCAATGGAGGCAAAGGAACTTTGGGCTTCTAATATCTTCTCCAAAGTCATGACTGTTATCATGGTGACTAATTGTTTCTTTTCTTTTGTTTACAGTGGCTGCCTCTTCTCTATCCTCTTTCCTTTATTCATTATCAGCGCCAATGAAGCAAAGACTCCTGGGAAAGCATAGTAAGTATTAGCCAGTATTAGCCAAAGTGTAAGTTTTTTCTGTGTAAAGGATTGGGGCTATAATGCTACAATTATATGAATGAGACTTTTTTTTTAATAACCTCATATTTTGCAGGAAAATGTTAATATACGGTTTAATGAGAGAAAAACATTTCTGGGATATATCTCAAAATTTTCCCCATGCATATATGCACAAAAATATGTTTCAAAAATTGATGCCAGGGCCGGCCCCGTGGCTTAGCGGTTAAGTGCTCACGCTCCGCTACTGGTGGCCCGGGTTCGGATCCCGGGCGCGCACCGACACACCGCGTCTCCAGCCATGCTGAGGCCGCATCCCACATGCAGCAAGTGGTAGGATGTGCAGCTATGACATGCAGCTGTCTACTGGGGCTTTGGGGGAAAAAAAAAATTGATGCCATTATACGTATTCTTTTTTTTTTTTTTTTGGGAGGAAGATCGGCCCTGAGCTAACATCTGTGCTAAACCTCCTGTTTTTGCTGAGGAAGACCGGCTCTGAGCTAACATCTATTGCCAATCCTCCTCCTCCCTTTTTTCCCCAAAGCCCCAGTAGATAGTTGTATGTCATAGCTGCACATCCTTCTAGTTGCTGTATGTGGACGCGGCCTCAGCATGGCCGGAGAAGCAGTGCGTCGCTGCGCGCCTGGGATCCGAACCCCGGGGCCACCAGCAGCGGAGCGCGCGCACTTAACTGCTACGCCACGGGGCCAGCCCCATTATATGTATTCTTAAAATTTAACAACTCACTGAATATAAGGCACTTGTAAAAACACCTGTAGTTAACTTCATTTTTGTAAGAATGGCCAACTTTTTAAAAAAGTAGTGGACCATGTGATCTGGCTATCTGAGTTTATTGATGATAATAGTAAAACAAAATTTTTTTTTTAATTCTTTTTTTTCGTGTGTGAGGAAGATCAGCTCTGAGCTATCATCTGCCAGTCCTCCCCTTTTTTTTGCTGAGGAGGACTGGCTCTGGGCTAACATCTGTGCCCATCTTCCTCCACTTTACGTGGGACGCCGCCAGAGCATGGCCTGACAAGCGGTGCATTGGTGCACACCCGGGATCCGAACCCGGGCCGCCAGCAGCGGAGCACGCGCACTTCACCGCTATGCCACGGGACCGGCCCGTAAAACAAAATATTTTAAAATGAATCTTTAGCAATAATAGCATTCCAGAAGTTTTATTTCAAAGAAAAGCTTGATTAATCTTTGATCAATTTTGGTTACGTCATTGAGGATACATGTATTAGAAATTTCAGATCTGTTTGGGTTTTTGCATGCTCTTACTGTCCAGCAGTGCTCAGTGTATATCTTAGTAGGCATAATCGACATTCCCTTGAAACTCTTGAAAATATCATATGCTATATGTGCTTTTTCAGACATCGTTTGAAGTTTGTATCCTGAAGTCAGCCATAGAAAAGTACTTCTCGAATCAGAATTAATCTGAAACGTAACTTAATTTCCTCTAAGCCCTGATACTTCAAATGGTGATTCCACTTCACTCTTGACAGCCACGGGGCCCAGTGCATTCTTCAGTTGCTGCCTATTTAAACCATGTGTCTTTAATACCTGTACTTCCTTGATCAAATTTCAATTGTCTTGTTTTCCTCTGGGTCATTTTAAGTTTAATGCAGTCAAATAAGTTGTCAAATAATTCAAACAATAATTTTGATCAACTGAGGATCTAACAAGTTGGGTCTCTTGCCTTTTAGCCTTTTCCAGTTGCGCCTCTTCTCTTTGGTGGTTTTCTTAAGCAACAGACTCTTCCACAAGACCGTCTACCTGCAGTCTGCCCTGAGTAGCTCAACCTCTGCAGAGAAGTTCCCTTCACCACATCCGTCTCCTGCCAAACTGAAGGCTGCTGCAGGCCACTGAGTCGCCTGCCATCCAGAGGGTATGGGTGGGATTGGAAGGAGGCTGTGGCAGCTCTTTTCCTTGTTCACCTCCCCAACCAGGGAAGGCAGGACCCACTCTGCCAAGGGCCCTCTGCATTCCCTTCTCTCTGAGGAAATGGGATTTTTGTTTCTGGTGCACGTAAGGCAGAATCTTCCTGACACCAGTATGTGGATTTTTAACACCGGTGAGTCTGAAAGGACCACAGGTTTTTCTGCAGCTCTTTTCTAGCATTTCCCAGCCCCCGTGCCTGGACTGATTTGAATACTTTTTCTCCCTGTGCCATTTACCCTCCCCCCTCCCCTTCCTGCCTTCTACCACCCTTGGATGAATGGATTTTGTAATTCCAGCTGTTGTATTTTGTGGACCTGTTATTTTTGTTGTTTTTCTGTGAAGCACATATATTGGATGTGGGAGGTAAAGGAGTTTCTTGTTGCTCCTGGTCACTCCCTTTATAGCCATCACTGTCTTGTTTCTTGTAACTCAGGTTAGATTTTGGTCTCTTTTGCTCCACTGCAAAAAACAAGCCTGAAGAGATGGGACAGGAGGAAAGACCTCACAGCCAGATCTGCTGGGTTTTGAGGAGTGATTTTTCTTTCTTCCCTTGAAGGGAGAAAAGGCTTTTTTCACTGGTACATAATAAAGTTTCCCAACTATAGGGAGGTACCGATTTTGGACAAGTGCCACTGCAACACAGAATGCTGAAAGAACCAGAACTTTTAAACTCTGGAGGTCTGAAATTTACGGTTGGCCACTGCCGGGTCTCTCTGGTATCTCAAAGGAATACTGGGTGCTGCAAATAGGAACTGAAGGGGTAAACTTATTAAACCCATTAAACCTGTGATTGGTGTTTTCCTGTCATTTTAATGAGACTAAATATGGAGGGAGGGTGCGGGTGTCAAAACACTTGTACAATTTTAAAGTGTCATGATTAAACGTGAGCTGGTTTCCCACAAGTGTGTAATGGCTGAATTTACAAATCATCACCTCAAGAAACATTCATGGAACACAAGACTTTGTTTTAGATAACTTGGTTAGGGCCGGCCCCGTGGCTTAGCGGTTAAGTGCTCGTGCTCCGCTGCTGGCGGCCCGGGTTCGATCCCGGGCGCACACCGACGCACCGCTTCTCCGGCCATGCTGAGGCCGCATCCCACATACAGCAACTGGAAGGATGTGCAGCTATGACATACAACTATCTACTGGGGCTTTGGGGGAAAAAAATAAATAAATAAAATTATTAAAAAAAAAAAAAGATAACTTGGTTATAGCTTTGTGAGATTAGTCCTGAAAAACTTTCCCCAAGAAAATCTGGATTATGTGATTATAATCATGTTAACATTTTGTGAGAGAATTTGGGATTGTTGAGTTATTTGTTTTAAAGTCTGTATGTACATCTCTCCTGTGTACCTACGAAGGGAGAGAGGTCATTCTAGGTTTCAGTGTATTGAACATTCTCATTAGGGAAGAGATTAGACAGTTGGTTAACAAACTTTTACTGTGTACAAGACAAAGACTTAAAAATCATTGCTGGGAGATATAAACCCAAGGTCGATGTGCAGAAGGTTTTTAAATAGTGGGCATCTTGGAAGTAGGCCTTGTTTCCAGCTTGTGCACAAAAAATTATAAAAAACACAGTTAAAATAAGGTTTACTTGGAACATTCCTGTGACGTTTCTGGTCATTTGACAATAGTATTGCAGAGAACTACTTCCAGGTTGGTGTGGGAGTGGTTTGAAGAAAACCTCAGTATTTCATCAGCTTGTAACTGATCAGTGATTACCTTACTTAAGATTAGTTTTTTAAGTTTTAAAAATTAGCTTAGTTATTTAAGTGGCCACAACTTTGCTGCCAGCAATTTGTATTTGTACCAACTAAGCTGGTCTTTGCTAGTTTAGAAGGGTGAAGGAGCTTGAGTAGATGAAGGCGTGATTTTATCCCACACTGTGCCTGGCTATAGAAAATGCTTAACTGGAAGTGAGGAACCTACACAGTTTTATTAGCGTAATTGAGAGGCCAGGCCTGTACAAAGGCTAGATTAGGCATGTCTACAATAGAAATTTGGTAACAATCTCAAATGAGGCATGTACACAAAAGCAGTGTAAACTTATCTTGCCTTTTCACTAGGGTATGGGCACTGAGGGCAGTGATTAGGAAACTGGGATCAAAGGGAGAGTAGGCTCTGTTTTTGCCAAGTTCAGAATGGCAGTTTGAGGCAGACTAATGGTAACTGAAAAAAAGGGAGGTCATATCACTAAAGATGGAAATGACAGCTTGAGTTTTAATCATGCAACCAGTGGGATCTAAGGAATCATGTTCACAAAAGTTCTTTTCAGGGATAGACATCACAGCTTGGATAGGTAAACGTGATTCAGAACACTACCCTTTTATCCTATCTAGAGTTGAGTTGTTCATTATAGCAACTCTTGAAGAATTAGAAAGTGGATGCTTCAGACCTGAGTATGTTAAGTCTGCTGGAAACTTAAATGGACAGATTTGTGCACTGACTTGTTAATTGCTCTGTACTTAGTAAGGGCCAAGATAAAGTGTAAGAGGAATGGTGACAAACTGAAACAAACCCAGAAGATGGGAACTAATGGTTAGGTTTGTGAACCACCTTAAAAGGGTAACATCTGTGGGAATAAATGGGCAACTGTAGTTGTCCACTGTCTATTCATTTTCCATCCACTTCTATTTATTTTCTGATTATTGAAGTAGTACAGGTGCTGGCCCCCTGGTGTAGTGGGTAAGTGTGTGCGCTCCGCTGCTGGCGGCCCGGGTTCGGATCCTGGGTGCGCACTGACACACTGCTTGTCAGGCCATGCTGTGGCGGCGTCCCATATAAAGTGGAGGAAGATGGGCACAGATGTTAGCCCAGGGCCAGTCTTCCTCAGCAAAAAGGAGGATGGGCATGGATGTTAGCTCAGGGCTGATCTTCCTTACACGCGCGCACACACACAAATAGTAGTACATTCAGCTTCTATATTTGTTTACCCCTATCAAGATTGCTCTGGTAAAGGTTATCAGTTCAGGGCCGGCCCTGTGGCTTGGTGGTTAAGTGCGCGCGCTGCGATGCTGGCGGCCCGGGTTCGGATCCCGGGTGCGCAGCGAGGCACCACTTCTCTGTCCAGCCTGAGGCCGAGTCCCACATACAGCAACTAGAAGGATGTGCAGCTGTGACATAACAACTATCTACTGGGGCTTTGGGGGCAAAAAATAAATAAAATCTTTAAGGTTATCAGTTCATCAATAGTATGATAGAATAGACATTTAGTTTAGCACTTATCTCCCCTCTGCCATTAACATTCCTCCTATGCTATATGACCACAGATGGAAGTTAAGAGTGCTGACTTCAGGTCAGTGTAACTTAGGCCTTTTTAACAATGAGAGCCATCCATCAGTAAAATATTTTGGATGGACCTAAAGTGATTCCATAGAACCAGTGAAGGATCAAGTGGGGGAAACAGATGACCTAAACATGTAACAGGCATTTGAACAGCTTCTCTGTTAGGCACTGTGCAAGCCACTGGGGACTCAAGGGTGAACCAGAAAGGTATCACTTCCCTCTTGGACGTAACATGAAGGGGACTGACAAGTGATCGGCAAATTTTTAAAAATTACGTGTTCAAATAGCTACTATTTTCCATAGGTCACAAAGCTGGATAAAATGTTGGAATTCAGAGAATCTTTGAGTAGAATGAGAGATTAGGCCATACATTCAGCCTCCCATTCTTGTGCTCCTGATTTCAAGTTTAAATGTTCTGTAGTGCTTTCAGACCTATGGGAAAAATAGTGACTGCTGGATCATTTAGATAAGAAGTTTTTAACCAGGGATCAGCATCAGAATCATGACATACCACCTGGCCCTGGAGGAAAGTTAAGTAGTTCTAGTAACACAAGGTAACTTTAAGAATTCCAATAACTACTTTCATAGAAATTTGGGAAGCTATTGGCATCCATAAAGAACAGATTGTTGTGAAAAAGGGACAGAATAGGAAAGTGCTTGGAAATTAAAGCAGTTGTGGGAATAAAATGACATGACTTATAAAAGTGACACTGAGGAGGCTAAATTAGAGAACTGCAAGATAAAATTGAGGAAATTTCCTAGAACACAGAGCAAAAAGATCAAGATGTGAAAAAAGTTAAGAATCATGGAAGTATCCAAGAATCAGGAGATCCAACATTGGTCTAATTGCAACTTCAGAAAATGAGAACAGAAACATGGAGATAAGAATAAAATCGAAGAAAATTTCCTGGACAATGAAAATTGGAGTTTTCAGATATAAAGGGCCTGCTAAGCGTAAAGCAGGAAAAATGAAAGAAAGAAAAAAACACATAGATGGGATCTCTAAGGAAAAATAATTTATCAGGGAGAAAAACAGGTTACCTACAAAGGACTGTGACTCACATTGGCGTTAGACTTCTCAAGAACAACTCCTGATAATGGAAGATCAAGTTGTAATGCCTTGAAAGTGTGCTTTTATGTGCTCCTGTGTGTATGGGATGGGTGGGTCCCAATTTTGTTCCTATAATTCAAAATCTAGCTATGCTATTAATTAAGGACAAAATAAAGGCATTGTTTGCTTTCCATTCAGCTTTTCTGAACAAGTTACTTGAAAAGTCTATCAAAGTGAAAAGTAAATCCAAGAAACAAAAATGACTAATTAAAACACCCAACCAAACAACACGAAACAGTGGAATCAGACGTGCATTGAGAAGAAATCCTGGTTACAAAGCTTTGCAGCACACTTGGAAAGGTGGGTTCTGGGGAGAATATTTCCAAGAAGAAAATAGATACTGTTACCCTGGTGTGCTCCAGATGAGATAAAGGCATGTGTTTCTTTTGATCAATGATATAAAAGAGGTAAGTAGACACTTGAGAGGACAGCCCTGTGGCCTAGTGGTTAAGTTCAGCATGCTCAGCTTTGGTTTGGTTCAGAGGTGGACCTACACCACTCGTCTATTGATGCCCATGCTGTGGCAGCGGCTCACATACAAAAGGAGGAAGATTGGCTGCAGATGTTAGCCCAGGGCAAATCTTCCGCAGCACACACACACAAAAAAAGTAAAAAGTAGACACTTCAGGAAAGACTGAAAGCTCCACAGAAATGACATGATTCCTACGAAGCAAGCTAAAAAGAGCATTCTTTTAAGCAATTGATGGAACAGTAAAAAGTTTTTCTGAAACAACCAAGTCAAAACTTTTGGTCCAATAAATCAGGAGGGAGAAGGATTAGCTGATATGCTGAATTCATGTATATAGTCTCTGGGTTTATAATACCATAATAATTTTTCCCATGACTTTGCTGTCCATACTTTGGTTTTACTTATAGATAAGCCTCTCCCTAGCAACTGGTGCTAAAGAATCATCCTAAAAATAGGCTTACATTTTAAACTTTGTTCTTTAGTAGCATATTTTGACTTCTGAAAAAGCTGACGTAATTCTACCACCTGAAAACTTAAACATTCCCTTTAAGAAACATGTTCAATTTTTTAAAAAATTGAGAACCCCAACATCTTAATGTTCTTGCAACAATACTTTTTTTTTTTTTAACTTTAAAGGAATCTTTCTAATTTCAATTCCTTTTTTCTTTTAAGAAAATAATTAAATCTTGTATGGAAAAGCATTTACTTGAAGTTCTCCAATTCCTTCAGGTTCACCTTCAGTTTCCTTCTGTTAATAAAATTACATTGAACACATTATAAAAACAAACAAAAAAGCAGATCTATTGAATCATAATGTCCTGGGGTGAGCCTAGTCATGTGAATTTTGAAAAATACACGTGATTTCCAAGCACTGCTTTAAGTGTGCTTTCAGTGAGTTTAGTCAGTTGCATTCATAGTAGAGTGGCACTGGCACTAAGTCTGAACAGTTTCCAGATGCTCCCCTTCTCTTTGGCGTAGCCGCCGCTCACTGAAGTGTGTAGGGAGCAGGAGTGCGGGAGTGTGTGGGTGTACACGTGCGGGTCTGACACGTGCTGGAATTGGCTGCTGAAACTTCGCTCCCTTCCCTGGGCTCAGCAACATTTTTTTTTTTTTTTTTTTTTTGGTGAGGAGAGAGAGGGAGAAAGGAGGCAAGTTACCGCAGCTTTCGCTGGCAGATATTTTACGAAGGGGAAAGGCGTGAGCTGACAACGTACGGCCAGGCTGCTGCTGGTTCTCGGCAGAAGCCCGTCCACCGCGTGGGAGCACGGCCTCTGCGGCAATGGGGATTCTTCCAGCTCAACCCGACGATCACTTGAGGCCCAGGTGTGCTCATCCACGACGTCAGGGGCTTGAGACCGGGAAATGCCGCGTGAAATCGGTCAGGGCTCTCTAGTCCACGAGTTACCCGAGCATGGTCAAAAACAGCTTTTGAGAGAACTGTCAGACAAATCCTGTCCAAGATGTAACGGTCTGCACGAGGAAGCGTTTGAATTTTCATTGAGAATACATAGAAAACTCTTCCCTCCTCCCCTACAACCTTATATTTAGGTAACGGTCAATTTCTACTTTAAAAAAAGAATCTCAGAAACAAAACAAGAGGTCACACTTCCCAGCTTTTTGGGATTTGTAGTTTCGGCCTATTCCTCCGCGTAGTTTCCGCTTCTGGTCACATGAGCGAGGTAACCGGGCCACACTTTCTCCCGCGAATCCTTCGCGGTCCGCAGACCGACACGTCACTCCTCGGCCGTCAACCAAACTGCTCCGAGCATGTTCTTTCGGCGCTCTGGCTCTCACGAGCAGGCCTGTCACAGCTCGGGGGGAGCACGAAGTCCCGCCTCCTGGCTGCTAAGTGATATCTATATTGTCCAGTTAAGAAGTGGGAGCGCGGCTTTGTCCGCGCCTCCGGACCTGACAGACAGTCCCGCGATCCTGTCGCTCTCCAGAAGTGTCGTATGGGGCTGAGCCAGCCAATGGGGAGCGGTCCGGGAGGCGGACCCAGCTGCTGCCAGGGTTGGGTGCGCCGCTGAACGGATGGCAGAGGGAGCGGAGCGGATTCCTGAGGAACGCTAGCCAGGTAAGAAAACTGTAGGATATCATTGCGAGTTAGCCGCAGGTGCAGTCCAGGGCGTCGGTGGTGCTGAACGAAGTGCAGGAGGTGGGGCTCTAAAGGCGGCGGGGGTGGAGGGTAGGGGAGGGAAGCAGGGTCTAGGGCCTTGCAGAGGAGGGGGCTTGAGGTGGGTGTGGGGACATCCTGGAATGGAAGGATAGGAAGGTCTGGGATGGGGCGTGCGCTTAGGCCAGGAGGGCGTGGGAAAGTGGGACTGGCCCTGTGGGGGGAAGGCGCGTAGGATGCTGATGTGGTGGGTTTTCCCGCGGTGGTGGTGTCAGAGGTGTTGAGTTGTGTCAAGGGGGGAGACAGAGGGGGGTGGGACCTGCAGGAGTGAGCAGAAGTGGGGGTGGAGGGGGGTAAAGGAGTGTGAGAGGGCGTGAGAAAGCATGTAGGTAAACGGGAGTGGGGAAGTTGCCGTCTTGGAAGCTAGAATTAGGGTGGGACAAGGATGTCACAGCTTGCAGGCACAGTTGAGGAGGAGAACAGATGCTAAGTGTCGTAAGAAAAGTGTTTTTGTTCTTATTTGCTTTAGCAGTGTGGGAAACAACCAGAGAGCACACTATGAAAACTCCCTTAAGGTTCTTCCTTAAATTACCAGCTCCTTTACTCAGTTTTCAGGTAGAGCTTCAAGTACTCTCATTTCCTCTGCTTACTCTTCCAGGTGTGTGACGCATGTCAACTCAATGGTGTTAAGTTTTTTTTTTTAAAGATTTATTTTATTTATTTTCCCCCCAAAGCCCCAGTAGATAGTTGTATGTCATAGCTGCACATCCCTCCAGTTGCTGTATGTGGGACGCGCGGCCTCAGCATGCCAGAGAAGCGGTGCGTGGGTGCATGCCCAGGATCCGAACCAGGGCCGCCAGCAGTGGAGCGCGCGCACTTAACCGCTAAGCCAGGGGGTCAGCCCCTATGGTGTTAAGTTTTTTTTTATTTCAGGCATTCCAGAAAACAAGCCTGAGGGATGTGGCTGGATTATTGACTTCCTGGACTTAGGTGTTTATTTTTGATTGCAAGATAAGGTTTTCCTTCGGAATTATAATTAAAAACACATGTACAGCTGCTCCTCTGGGACAGTTAATTATGGAAAAGATGTTTGACTTTTCACTGTTGGAGCTAGGAATGTATGATTCTTCATGCCTTCCACCTAGTCCAGTGTTATTTTTTCGCTTTCCTCTAGTAATAGTGGGAAAAAGATCACTTAAGGGTGCAGGTTCCTTTTTTTTCCTGTGGTCTTAAAGAGTGTTGCATATCCTTTATTATTACATTCATTATCACTTAGCCTTTGGCCAGTTTATGGTTTAAGAAGGCAGTACTATCTTAAAGAGAAATAGCTAACCTCTTATGGTAAATGAGTGCTAATAAATCTTGTCCATCAAGTGATCACCATTCTGAATGGTCTACAAACTGCTTCCTTCAACATTTTATTTTAAGCTAGTTTTTTCTTTTTCCTGAGTTTTTCTTTCTTCAGTAGGAAAAATTTATTTTCTTTTCTCTCTAGATTGTCATCTGGTTGCATGAGTTGTCTCTGGGATCAGTGGCTTAAAACAGCAGTGTCAATTACAGAGATGCCTTGAGACAGCTGATTAGAAGTGGGAATAGATCTGAACAGTAGGTCCATTGTGATACATGGGATTGAAAGTGCAGTGATCTATGTATGTGTATCTCTGCCTCTTGAGTGTGTGACTGTACCTGCATTATTGGTGTCATGCTCTTTAGTTGACCCTGCAGCCCCATTGGATTTGGAACAGAAAGAAGCTTGTAGCCAGTCAGTTGAAACTGAAATTTAGGGCTGTAAACTGTGCTGATTCAGTCATGACTTCTATTTCTCCGCTTTCTATTTGCACTTCTGTACTCGCTATTCATTCCCTGCTTTCTTTCATACATTCCTGCCTTTTCTTGAATGCTCTCTTTCCGCATTTATTTTTTTCTCTATTTCCAATTTTTCCTATCTTCTTTGCATCTCTTCCTCCAACCTCCTTTTTTTCTATTCCTGTGTTTCCTCTTTACTTCTGTTGTACCACACTACTGCCAGTTGTGCTTATGCACTTCGTAGCTGTGAGGGAGTGGGAAACAGAATTATGCTGATAGAGTCTAATCACTCCTTTTTAGTCTTGACACATAGACCTGACTTGTGCCTACTTTCTTGCCAGTCCATCATAATGCAGAAAAGGGTTGGGTATTAATATTAGCCCTGACCCTCTCTGGTGTGTTCACTAGCTGCTGTCTCCTTTATAGTTCTCTACTACCATACAATTTGAAAGTGAATTAGGTAAGTTGAAGGCGTTCAATATCATATGGTCTTGACTTTTCCATTTTAGCTATTTGAGTGTCATCTGTTGCCACCCATTGATGTCAAGATGACCAAGCTGGGATTTTTGCGGTTGTCCTATGAAAAGCAGGACACACTTCTGAAGCTTCTCATTCTGTCGATGGCTGCTGTGTTATGTGAGTGTGCATGTGGACCTCTGTCTTTTGGGGAGGGAAAGGAGAAAAATCTTGAAAAAAATCAAGAATGGCTTTCTTAAATGCCTCGTTCTTTTTAGCTGATTGTAATGTGTTCTTTTTACTGTTCTCCATCAGTATAATTTTATGAAGGCAAATTAAAAGAAACAAGGATTATAAAAGTCAGGGCTAGTGATCATCTGGGAAATAATGGGAAGCATACTTTGCCAATTCGGTTTTCTCATAGGGCTGAAAGAGTTATGGGGGACCCTTCTATAGTGAATTTTGTAAAAGACAATTGTCTTCAGTTTAGTTGCCTACCATAGTATTTCTACAAGTCTTTTCAGAACTTACTGTGTTTTTTAGATTTTCTAGTTCTTCATGAGTCGCAAGTATAGCCTTGATTGCTTTACCTCTTAGTTTGCTCCAAAGTTAAGGTTAGTTGTGGGGAGAGGAGATCAACATACATATAAAAAATGGCCTTGTAAGTTGAGTGCAGTGTTAGTGGGTGAATGCATTGTTATAGGCCTTGATAATAAGTAGTTAAACGTGTCCTACCTAAGTGGAAAATTAAGGTGTCATTGTCAGGGGAAAGTGAACTTCTTTTGTTTCTTCTACATGGGAGGGATGGATAAATACTTTATTCAGGGATCATTTTATATTTCTTGTGACTTCTGTGCTAGATAATACTGTTAGCTCTATAATACTACTATCTGCTATTTTTCATGGCACATCACTATTACAATATTAATTCTCTGGTTTTTGCAGCATTCTCCACTCGTCTGTTTGCTGTCTTGAGATTTGAAAGTGTCATCCATGAGTTTGATCCGTGAGTACCTTTGCTTGGTCTGGTATTTCCTTTGGGAAGCATTCAGGTTCATGGGTTTCAAATTCAAATTCCAGTGAGCTCTCAGTGATGGAGGTGCACTTTCTTTACATTTAGGGGAAAAAACTCTTTAAGTTTTCCAAAGGAGATAATTGTCTCCTTTTGAAACATTTCTGTTGGAATTAACCAGGTGAGTCTCTCAAACTCATAAAAAATGTGAGAGGCATTGCTGGTGTGCCTGCCTATCATTTAAGATCTGGCTAGGCTAAGAAAAGTCTGGCTTCTCAGCTTGGTTAACAGTGATGCAGATTGAGGGAAAGGGGCATGTTGGATTTGAGGCTCAATAGAAAATTACAAGCCATGAACTTGAGATCCATGACATTTTTTTTTGTTTTTTTGTTTAACAATTTGTGTGGTAGAAATTAAGCCTACCAGTTAAGTTCTAAGACACTGAGGAAAGTTTAAAGCTATCAGTTTGATTAGGGATTTTGTTTATTAGATTAAAAAGATATGGGTGAAATACATTTACTGACATTCATTTTGATCCAAGCACTGTTTTACAGATTATCTCTAAATCCTTACAACAGCCCTATGAGATGGAGGTACTGTTGTCTCCGTTTTACAGATGAGGAGACTGAGGCTGGGAGAGGCTATTCAAGTTTACACATTTAGTAAGTGGAGGAGCCAAGATTTGAATCTAGATTAGTCTGTCTCCAGACACTGGAGTTACTGTGTTATATTGCCTAAAGTTAAGGCTTAATTAAAAATTTGAAGAGGCAGGATCTAAGTTCTTGAAGTATTATTGATATCTTAAAAATAGCATATTCAGCTTATGGAGCATTGATTCAAAAGTTTAATACTTGCATGTATTTATAAATTTGTCATTTTGTTTTGTGTAGATATTTGAAGCACTTTGGAGGCATGTAAATATTTTCTTTGGAGCCTCCCAAATCAATGTATATTTTTTCTAATGAATGAGGAAACTTATGTCCTTTTGTTTCTTGATCATCAGTCTGTTAGGGCTTTTTCTCAGACCCTCTAGATGAGCAAACATTGAGGTGAGATGGTCAGGGAAAGCAAGAGTATCTGCTCTGTAGTCATAGAGCTGGAAGGGACTGGAAAGATCATGTGATTTGATACTTCCTTTTGCAGAGCAGGAAACTGAGGCCCAGGGGGTGACCCCAGTCCAGGCCTATTCCCATTAACTTATACTTCCTCTGTCTCACTTTGCCTCTCCTACTGTTGGGTAAAAGACACAATTCTAACACATATTGACTGCCTGCTGCCCTCATCCCTTTTGTCTCTCTGATGGTTACCAAAATAACATTCATCAGCAACAAACAGAAGGATAGAGATTTCTACCATCTGCTACTTCTACTTACTTCAGCTGCTAAAATTTGACTGACCCAGGAGGAAATAGGGTTAGAGGGGTGGGCAGGAAAGATGGTTAGTCATGATTATCTTTAGCAGTTAAACAAGTCCTTTTATTTTATTTGTTTACTTAAATTTTTATTTATGTTTATTTTTTGCCTTTCTTTTTTTAAATTTCTTTTTAAATGAGAAACTTAAGAGAAGGAGTTACATAGCTTGGATCTAAAGAACTGTGTCTTTGCAAAATGCTATATAAGCATTTTATATCAGATATTTTTAATGTAATCTATATTTTTATACTGCTATGTAGGTGGCATTCAGAACTGTTCTATTTTTTTTATTTATTCATTTTTTTGTGAGGAGGATCAGCCTTGAGCTAACATCCATGCCAGTCCTCCTCTTTTTGCTGAGGAAGGCTGGGCCCTGAGCTAACATCCATGCCAATCTTCCTCCACTTTATGTGGGATGCCGCCACAGCATGGCCTGACAAGCAGTGTGTAGGTGTGCGCCCGGGATCCGAACCCAGGCTGCCAGCAGCGGAGCACACACACTTAACCACAACACCAAGGGGCCGGCCCCCAGAACTGTTTTAAATAACAACATGAGTAGACCTCATTACAAGTTTAAACACTCATTAAGAAGTTTGTGTTATGGAGTGGATTAAAAAATTTTCATTCTGCGTATGGTGTTATACCAACATCTTTAGAGATGCTCATCACTTGAAATTATCCATGTATTCTTGTGTGTTGAATGGATATGTTCTTTTGTATGTTCCTGTCTTTTGAAAAGAGCCAAATTTATTAGTGGCCACATCTCAGCCATCCTGTCTTTTGGGTACTTGAATTCTCTTACTGGTGCTGATGCCTACTGTATGCCAGCCTGGTGAAGTATCCTGCTTGAGGGCTTTATTATAATATTAGGGTCCAGTTGCATTTCCTTATGAGAGAAGCAATACTTTAGTTGAGACAATCATGGAGCTAGAAATGAAGAGACTTATGATAATTTAAAATGGTTTTCATGCTTGGCATAATTTTTGCTACCAAACTGACTTGTATTAGAGAAATGATAAGTTCCTCAGTGGTATAACTTGAGGAGCAAAATTCACTGCAAATTGATGCAAGTATTTGAGTATGAAGAAGAGGAGACAGAGATCTTTTCTTTCTTGCTTTAGGTACTTTAATTATCGGACTACCCGGTTCCTGGCTGAGGAAGGATTTTATAAATTCCATAACTGGTTTGATGACCGGGCCTGGTACCCTTTGGGACGAATCATTGGAGGAACCATTTACCCAGGTGAAGCGAACAGGATTTTTTCTTTTTTTTTAAAACAGAAATAAGGTATTTGTATATTATGGAACAGTTTCTTTTATTTCTGATATGTTCATTTTGTGACACTTGTGATTTCAATCTGATTACAGATTCCTAAAAGTAGATCTTATATAGACACGAGAACACGAATGGGAGAGTGGGGATGGGTGGTTTTTTATAAATTCTGGACTTCTGATTGAATCCTTAGGAGAGACAATTATAGCCTACTGCAGTTGATGTGTTAATATTTCTGGTGGTTTGTCGAGACCTGTGTTGTCACTATTGATATTTGGATTTTCCTTCTCTTTCCCTTAAGTTCTTTGTCTTACTAGGATAACCTAACGGAGTTTCTTCTTCCTGTTACAGGCTTAATGATCACCTCTGCTGCAATCTACCATGTACTCCATTTTTTCCACATCACCATCGACATTCGGAATGTCTGTGTGTTCCTGGCCCCTCTCTTCTCTTCCTTCACCACCATCGTCACGTACCACCTTACCAAAGAGCTCAAGGTGAAGGATTTGGGGTGACAGGAGGCTTGGGAATGAATGTTGTTGAACCTCTCTAGTAGATGCTGAAGGTGGGGGACTGAGAGCCTGAGAAGAGCAGGGAGCCAGAGGCTAAAGACAGCTTTTACTGGGTTGAATCATTGAGTTCACTCCAGCCTCTCCCTAGAATATGTAGTTTCTTATCATTAGCAACTGTTTGTCCTTATAAGAGAACATTGGAAGGTCAAATGTAAATTGCTACATAAAGGAAAAAAACATTTAAAATGCAAAATGTAAGGTTTAGATTTTGAGTCTTTACAATCTAAGGGAGAGGAAAAATACAGGAAGTTTTCCAAAGTGGTTAGTTCTTCCTGCTGGAAATGGACACTTAGCAATTATTTGCTGATTTTTTTTTAAACATGTATTTAAAAATTCTTAAACCACTTGGCTTTTGTAGTAGACTCCATAATACTGACTCTCTTTTTCTAGGTTTCTGCTTTGCCTACCCTGGCTCCTTGGATGCTGCTCTTAGTTTGTAGCTTTGGTGTCAGAGAGATCTGAGAGGTGATAAACTAGTAGGAGGGCTTGGGAAACTTGAGTTTAGTTTGGAATATTTTTCATCCTTCTCCTTGCTGCCCTTGATCCAAAATTTAACGTTTATCAACAGACAAGTTTTTACTCTTTTGGAGTGTGGGTTATATTTTGTCGTTCCTCTTTCCAGAGCTCACAGATTACCTGGTGATCTTCCAACTTTATTATCTACGTTCCTGGCATCTTTAGTCCAGATAGATTATCTCATATAGATTATCTCCTATCTTTGTTGGCTTTTTAGCTCAAATAATAATAATCTTCCTTTGATTGTCCTTGAATAGCTTTTAGAGGTGTGACTGGTGTTCCTGTGGTGTGCAGAGATTGTTAGAGATAGGGACTCATAAGCCTGGGGACACTCCAGCCAAACAGCCCCTTCTGGGGCAATGTCTGATGTCTGATAGCGTATGTGATTTGTCTGTCTTGAGCATGTGTGTACTCACTTTCAGACTTGGTATCATCATGGGGAATTGGTTGTGAAGATTTTAGCTTTCTTGTGCTGTGAACATTTCTAGCATTTCTAGCGTCGCATCTACCTTGGAAAATGTTGGACTGTTCTCTGGGTCCATTATAAACAGAATGGACTAGTGGATCCTGCTCCTCTCTAGAGGCTCTTCTCTAGAGGATCTCCTCTCTAGAGGATCTCTAGGGGATCTTCTCTCTCATAGATGTATTGGTGTTAACTTCTTACACTTCTTTTCTTACAGGACGCAGGGGCTGGACTTCTTGCTGCTGCCATGATTGCTGTAGTTCCTGGATATATCTCTCGATCTGTGGCTGGTTCCTATGATAATGAAGGTAAGACTTAAAATGCTGAATAGGATCTGTTTACCTCATTATCCAAGAGAGCTTCATGAGTTGCTGTAAAATCTGGGTTCAAATCTTTTGTTTAGCAATAGCAAAAATGATGTCTGGGTGAGAAGATTAGAAATGGACAGGGAGGGACCTCAGATAAGTTTATATTCTCTCCATCATCCCCTCTAGAAAGGTAGCTGGTAATTTTCCTTATATAAGGCCTTTGACTCATTGCTGGACTCATGAAAATAGAGTTAATTTTTAGTTAGTTGAATGGTACTATTGTTTTAACATTGTAATCATTTGCTTTATTTTCCTAGATAAGAAGGATGGATGGTCTTAAAACTATAATGACTTTTATTGACTTATTTTCAGTTCAATCTATATTTATTGAATGTTATTGGGAAAACACAGTGGTAGGTAATATAAAGATGGATAATAAGATTATTTTGGCTCGTAATTAAGGAATTATAGAGATAGATAATGAATAAAATTATTTTGGCCCATAATCTATTAAGATAAATACAGACCTATAAAAATAACTAATAACAGACAGACAGTATTATATGCCATGAGAGAAGTATGAACAGAGTACTTTGGGAATGTGGTGAAAGGAGAGATTAATTCAGATTTGGGGATCAGGGAAGGCTTTTTAGAAGTAGCTGAGGTTGAACTGGGCCCTGAAGTTGAGACTTCATTAGGTAAATATTAAGGAGAGGGGCAGTTGGGGCGTAAAGACCGGCTTGTGCTAAGATGTAGAGACAAGAAGGTTCAGGATAGTACAGGATATCTTTTGGACTACACAGGCAGGGAATTTAGTGCCTGGAAAGAACAGTAATAATAATGGCCAACACTTACTGAGTGCTTGCTGTATGCTAGGTACTGTTCTAAGTGCTTTACATGGAATAATTAAATTTGTCTTCAGAACACTTTTATGAAGTAGTTACTGTTATGGACTCCTTTTCACAGGAAACTGAGACAAAGAGAGGTAAAATAATTACACTATTAATGGGTAGTAGATCTGAGATATGAATCTAGGAAGTCTGCTCTAGAACTGTATGCTTAAGTATTATGCCAGCACGGCCTTTTATTGCATTTTTGTTGTGTTCTTTTGGCAGGCATTGCCATCTTTTGCATGCTGCTCACCTACTACATGTGGATCAAAGCAGTAAAGACTGGTTCCATCTATTGGGCAGCCAAATGTGCCCTTGCTTATTTCTACATGGTAACTATTTACTCCTTTCTTCCAGAAGTCTCTCTGTGTCTGAATATCCCTTGGGATCAACTGATACAAAATGGAAGTAGCTCTTGGGCTATGAGACCGTGGACTGGAGGCTGAAAGTCTTGTCTCTTGTATCCATACAAAGCCCAGTCCAAGGCAGGCATGGATATCCATTGTATAATGGCAAGCTAGAGATAATGTTTTTAATTTTTCAAGTTCTTCCGATACTGTATTTCCTCTGGGGGGGTACATATTGGTTGGCCAACTCTCTTTTCTGATATATTCCCTTAAAATTTTTCCTTTTCTAATATATTTTTTTCTGGTCAATCTCATGTATACACTTAGACTTCTTCCCTTAACTGCCTCCACTTGCTCACGTTTCCCATGTATCCCTAAATCCTCCATCTGACCTTACAATAGATTGCATCTGGATTAACCCTGAGGGTTGGGTGCCTCTTGTTTTGTGATCATGGTGGCAGGAGCCATAGGGGACAGGGGATTGAGTTACAGTAATAGGTGTGAATTTGATTTTCCTGTTTAAAGAAATCAAACTCTTTAAGCTTCTTGGCATAAATAAAGTTTACAGTTACTGTAAGAGATGTTCTTTAAAAAGGTCACAGGTGATTTCCTAAGGTATAATGGTGGTGGTTTGAGGAGTAGTACTCAGAGGAACTATTCTTTTTTATCCTGTCACAGGTCTCTTCATGGGGAGGTTATGTGTTCTTGATCAACTTGATCCCTCTCCATGTGCTGGTGCTGATGCTCACAGGACGTTTCTCCCACCGGATCTATGTGGCCTACTGTACTGTTTACTGTCTAGGCACCATTCTTTCCATGCAGATCTCCTTTGTGGGTTTCCAGGTGAGCCTAGGCTGAGTGGAGTTTTTAGTTTCTTCCACTTTTTCTAAGCAGCTCCAACTAGATTGGTTTATGTTGGATTCTGGACTTATTCACGGGTCTAACCTTGGACTTCTTGTGTTAACTGAAGCAACAGAATCATTGGTAATTGGTCATTAAAGTCTGCTTCCAGGAGTGTATTAATATTTACTCCATGAAGTTAGAATTTAATGACTTAATTTGGCTTAGATTTGTGGGGGGAGGAGGGATATTTTGGTTGAGCTGAGTTGACGTGAGTGATCAAAGTTATTCTAGTCCGTTTTAATGCTAATAATAACCCCATTTAATAGTCATGACCCCTGAACTTCCTAAGGGGGCCTAAGTGAAAGTCCTTTAGGAAGCAAAGCACAAACTTTTTAACCACATTACCCTATAGGGTTGAGAGACAAACTATTAAATCAGAGAATAATGTAGTGTGTTTGAGTTCTCGTGTAAAATTCTTATGAAAGTGGAACATTTGAGGTCAGCAAGTACTTCTTTATGGATCACCTACTGTATGCAATTCACTAATCTATGGGAAATATAAAAAGTGAAAATATGGTCCTGGTCCTTGAGGAAGTTACAGTCTTGTTGGGGGGAAGGAAGTATATGCTATACTACGTGTCTATAGTCTGTAGCGGTTCTGGAAATGAAGTTCCTGGGCCAGCAGTATCAGTAGCATCTGGGAACTTGGTAGAAATGCAAATTATGGGACCCTACCACAGACCTACTGAATCAGAAACTCTGGGGGTGGTCTCAGCAATCCGTGTCTTTTTTTTTTTGTGAGGAAGATCAGCCCTGTGCTAACATCTGCCAATCCTCCTCTTTTTTTGCTGAGGAAGACTGGCCCTGGGCTAACATCCATGCCTATCTTCCTCCACTTTATATGGGACACTGCCACAGCATGGCTTGCCAAGTGGTGCGTTGGTATGCACCCGTGATCCGAACTGGTCAACCCTAGGCCGCCACAACGGAGCGCGCGCACTTAACCGCTTGCGCCACCGGGCCGGCCCCAGTAAAACGTGTCTTAACACTCCCTCTTCTCCCCATCCCCCACATGATTGTGATGCCCACTAGAGTTTGAGAACCACTGTTCTAAGCAAAGAATTTTTAAGCAACAGAAGAGATCCAAAGTGCGTGGAGGGCCGGCCTGGTGGCATAGCTGTTTAAGTGTGTGTGCTCTGCTTTGTCGGCCTGGGATTCGCAGGTTCCGATCCCAGGCATGCACCAACGCACCGCTTGTCAAGCCATGCTGTGGTGGCGTCCCCTATAAAGTAGAGGAAGATGGGCACGGATGTTAGCCCAGGGCCAGTCTTCCTCAGCAAAAAAAGAGGAGGATTGGCATCGGATGATAGCTCAGGGCTGATCTTCCTCACACAAAAAAAATAAAAATAAAGTGTGTGGAACATAGAATGGAGTGATAGATTTCAGTTTGGCAGATTAGGAGGAAATGGTATTTGCATTGGGCCTTGAATGATGAGAATTTCAGTAAATGCTGAAAATGAATTTTGAAAAATTCATTGAATTTTGGGAAAATGAGAAAATTGCAGTTCATGCTAAAGAAATATCCTGAGCAAAGGCTAGGTATGATAATGATAGAGTATGGTATTCTTTGGGAGACTCTAAATATTTTTTGGATAATGTGACAGATGAATTACACTCTTCCCTAGAGAGTCCCTAATTCCTTAGTGGCATCAGAACTCATTCATATCTAGGCTGGCCCCATTCTTTTCCTAACATAATTCTCCGTACGCTTTCACCTACAGCCCGTCCTTTCATCAGAGCACATGGCAGCCTTTGGGGTCTTTGGTCTCTGCCAGATCCATGCCTTTGTGGATTATCTGCGCAGCAAGTTGAATCCACAGCAATTTGAAGTTCTTTTCCGAAGTGTCATCTCCCTGGTAGGCTTTGTCCTTCTCACCGTGGGAGCTCTTCTCATGCTGACAGGTAGGGAAGGCTCACAGCTTTTAGTATTAAATGTAAATGGGTATGGGCATATGATAAACTCCAAAAATGCAGATTATTTCCTGACCACAGAAAGATTTGTTTTTTTCCTCCTGTTTCTCTTTTTCATTTCAAGCATATAAAGTCCTACTTCTTCACATTCAGCCCACTGGTTAGCACAGTGTTTGAATTCAGCATAGCAAAGAATGTCTTGTTAGAGCAGCTCTTAGTCTCAGAAGAATTACACTTGGTGAAAGGCCTGTAGCTTACCTGATGATCTTTCTCTTTTTTTTCTTTTCTTTTCTTTACTATTGGTAGGGTGGGAGAAATCCTAACATTGCTTGTCATACCCTACAGTGTGGCCTCATCTAATCCCAAATGCGCTAAACTGTGGCTGTTTCATTTGATTGGCATGCCACATTTTCCTCCTCCTTCATTTTCCTCACTTCCACTTCTTAGAGGCTGATTTGATTTTGCCCAAGTCTCTGTGTATTGTCTAATTCAGAGCAGCACTGGAAGACCTAGTTGACTTAGTGTATAGAGTTGGTCTTGGTTTTGATCAGATTTGGCCTAAAACCCTCTTGGGAGCATTTCTGCCTCCCTTCTTCTCTCTGAGCTTATATACAGCCTGTCTTTATTCTGCTGGCTATGCTGACAAAAGTACTTTCCAGTTTGAAAGAAAGGAGTGAAATTCTCAAAGTATTGGTATCATTTAAACAAAAACCAAGTCCTTCTCTGTCTCAGATAACCTTATTAAAACGAGAAGTTGCGATTAGTTAGGATCAGATGTTATTTTGTTTCAGGAGTGATTGTGAAATATTTGTTGCCTCTTTGCTGCCAGGAAAAATATCTCCCTGGACGGGGCGTTTCTACTCACTGCTGGATCCTTCTTATGCTAAGAACAACATCCCCATCATTGCTTCTGTGTCTGAGCATCAGCCTACAACCTGGTCCTCATACTATTTTGACCTGCAGCTTCTCGTCTTCATGTTTCCAGGTCTGTCTGCCTTGTGTTCTGAAGTGGCCTTCTTTGTAAGAATTGCCATTTGATTCAAAATAAGTAAACTACCCTCATCCTTGTGTTTTTGTTTTTTGCCTGTTTACTCTATGCAGTACAGAGGATGGCTAGCACATTTTTCTAGTATTTGAAGCAGAGTAGAGTCAGAAGTTGAACAGTTGCAGATACTGGCAAATTAGCCTGACAGTTTTCTGTTAATTTGTATTATAAGTTAAAATTCAACCCTAATTTCAGGATTTTTTTTTGCAGGGGAGCATTTCTAGTGTACCTCTCTCCCACCACCTGCATCCCTGCCTCCTCCCCATTTATCTTCTTGGCAGTATTGAAGTTTGTGAATAGCCATGGTTGATTGTAAAGCCTCTTTATCTAACTTAGCTTCTGGCCAATCCAGATATGTTTTGGAATTTACCAGTCATAGGCGGCTTTCTTTTTTTTTTATAAAATAATTTTCACGTTTTTTTCTTATTATGAAAGTTAGTTGTCTATTGTAAAAAATATAGACAAGTAAAAAAGTGAAAATTTCAGGAGTTCTTACCACTCATCTGTTGCTATTGTTAACATTTTGATGTATATTCATCCAGTTATTTATTGAATAAAAATGAGGTGATACAGTTTTTTCCCCTGATTTTTTTCATTTCATAAAGAATCATGGTAATTTCTGTTACTTAGTATTATTTTAGAGAAACAGTATTTAAGATATATCATTTATTAGTTTTTTAAAGTACAGAGATGTGTAAAGAAGAAGGCAAATAGTCCATAATCTCCTGCAGCAATTTTTAATTGATGTATTATATTCTATTTTATAAATACACTATAATTAAGTACCTCCTTAATGTTGGACATTTATTTAGGTGGTTTCTGGTATTCTGCTGTTTTAAAGAGTGCTGTAGTAAACATCTTTGCACAGTTTGTTTTTTCAGTTGCTTACTTCTTTTTACTTTTACTTTTGTAGTTGGTCTCTATTACTGCTTTAGCAACCTGTCTGATGCCAGGATTTTCATCATCATGTATGGTGTGACCAGCATGTACTTCTCAGCTGTAATGGTGAGGAATGCCCTCAGTCCTAGCAAACCTTTCCACCCCTAACTCTGAGGTGCTTTTTTTTCCTGCATGGCTGGATTCAGAAAGTACTGATGATTGTACAGATGCTTCCCTTAGCATTTGAGCAGCTGAGTTGTAAAGCTGCCTACTGTTGTTGACCCTTCCCAGGAATTCTGATTGTGGGGCCAACTTTTTCAGATACATAACCTTGTGTTAGGGAGAGGCACTTTTATGTTTGTTGGAGAAAGTGACCCTGGCCAGGTTCCTTCCGCTCTCTTTCTGGGTGTCTTTAAAAGGGAGGTGATGTTTTTTTCTTAAAGGCATGGGAGGATTGCTGAGTGCTAGGTTGTTAAAAGAGGAGAGATTTTATATTTTGTAGTATGACAGTGTTTCTCACACTTTCTTGACCCCAAACCACAGTTAAGAAATACATTTTATATCGTATCATTACTCAGTATGCACATATATACATCTATTATATATAACTTAAAAACAAAGTTTAAGAATATATGCTTCTACTACTATAGATGTGTTAAGTATTTTCTTTTTCTTTCAGTTTCATTTAAGAATCATGTTTGTTGAAAACCCCTAAATTGATGTCATAACCTTCTAATAGGTTGAAATCTTTAATTTGTAGAACACTGATTATCTTGTGATTTTGCTTCCTGTCTCTTTTAGGTGCGTCTAATGCTAGTGTTGGCACCTGTTATGTGCATTCTTTCTGGCATTGGAGTTTCCCAGGTGCTGTCCACTTACATGAAGAATCTGGACATAAGTCGTCCAGACAAGAAGAGCAAGAAGCAGCAGGATTCTACCTACCCCATTAAGAATGAAGTGAGAATTAAACAACACTAGGAATGGGCTTGGGAAACTGTGTGTGCATGTGTGTGTGCATGTGTTTGTGTGTGTATATATTTTTTTTGAGTGAGAAAGTAAAGTAGAGCTCTGTCCTAAGTGGTCAGAATTAACTCATGTAGCCCCTGACTTATTTTGATTCGGCTCATCTATATTATTGACTGTGTATTAGAAACTGTTCTGTGTTGTGTAAGTTTAGTTTGGTTTACAACACAATTCTTCTTCCTTGTTTAGGTGGCAAGTGGGATGATATTGGTCATGGCTTTCTTTCTCATCACCTACACCTTTCATTCAACCTGGGTGACCAGTGAGGCCTACTCTTCTCCCTCCATTGTGCTCTCTGCCCGTGGTGGGGATGGCAGTAGGATCATTTTTGATGACTTTCGAGAAGCATACTATTGGCTTCGTCACAATACGCCAGAGGTGAAGATTTGGGAGAAGTGGGGTTGTGGGGTAGGGGGAAGAGGGAGACATTTGATGTTATAGTGAATCATACAGCTTTTAGATGGGTGGAAGGCTTGGAGAAATTGGAACTACAGAACCCTGGTGTTGAATGAGCCTTAAAGATCAGTCTTCATTCAATTTAGGATTTCTTCTATAGTGACCTTTACTGGTAATTATCTACACTCTGCTTGGACACTTGTATTGACAGCATGGTGATTTTATCATGAGGTAGACCATCCCAATTATAAAAGAAGAAAAAAAGTTACAAATAAATAATACATGTTCATGGTAGAAAAATCAGAAAATAGAAGCAAGAAAAAAGATAAATTTTCCATGAAGTGATCACCTGAGGATAACCATTTTTAACATTTTGCTTTATAACTTTTGAGAATCTGAAGTGATTTCCTTTGCAGTAGCTGTTGGGAACAGTATTTCTGAGTCAGATTCTTAGGAATCAAAACTTGAAGAATTTCTTAATCCTTGCCCATCATATCCTGTGATTTGTGTTTCTCCTCATATTTATAATAACTGATTTTTGTGACATTGTTAAAGGTCATTTATTTAATACAGTTATCTTATGACACCGCTATTTATTTGGAAATATTGCACAGTCTGCTACACCTCTGACCCCACTGTGCTTGTTTTGTATAAGGTGATCCAAGATGAAAGTATTGGGAATGTTGGATTGTATAATTTGCACTGAGAGTTCATGATTGTATATAAATGTAGGACCAGGTGGCAAGATTTATTTTCTGGTTAGGCATGCATTATTTTGTGAAGAAATTAATTAGCCATGCCTCACTTCCTATCAGATGCCCTTCTACTCCTTCTTTTGTATTTGATTTTTGGAGACAGTGAGAAGCTTGTTATTTCCATTTCTTGTTCTTCTGTCAGGATGCGAAAGTCATGTCATGGTGGGATTATGGCTACCAGATTACAGCTATGGCGAATCGGACGATTTTAGTGGATAACAACACTTGGAATAATACCCATATTTCTCGAGTAGGGCAGGTAAGGTGAAGGGATCATTTTAGTGTTTGGCACACAGAGTCTAGTGGGAAATATTTCTCCATGATGGATCACATGACCTGGAATTTTGCTCTGAGAAATGTGCATGTATTTTTCTAGGCAATGGCATCCACAGAAGAAAAAGCCTATGAGATCATGAGAGAGCTTGATGTTAGCTATGTGCTGGTCATTTTTGGAGGCCTTACTGGGTATTCCTCTGATGGTAATGTACTTGATTCTATTTCTAGCTACAGGGGACTATTTTCTTAGTTGGGAAAGTTCCTAAGTATTTGCAACTTGAGGTTCAAAACTGTAATTTGATAAGTGTTGATATCAAAATAATTTTGATTACTTTTTTGTGTGTGTGGCAACAAGTTGGAAGTAAATGTACGTAATTGTCATGTAGGTACGGCATGCTGTAATTGTTCAAAGACCTAGGAGTAGTTCCACAACCAGTAAATATAAACAAAGAACATAAGGCTTCTGAAAACGAACTTAATTAGCATTTTTTAGTGGGTTTAAGCTGTAGAATCATCTGCCAGCTTAAAATGTTTTATATATATGTGTTATATATATATGGTATATGTTACCATGTTCCCATTATTAGCAAAACCATATTTTTAGAAGAATCATCCAAATACAGTTCTCTGCCTTAAAAAAAAACTTTTAAAAAATTAAATAGCTGTTTATACTTTAAAATGTTAAACACTTCTGAAGGTTTATAATAAAAAGTGGTAGTCCTCTGCCCCTAAACCTAAGCCCCCTTATAACATCAGTTCCCAGAGGCAATCATTCCTTCCATTGTTTCTTCTAGTACTTACATTCATATTTCTAAATAATATGTATATTCTGCTATTCATTGACTGATCATTTTAGATATACTGTATCAACTCATTGTTATAGTAGATAAGGAATTTAGTCCTTTGTATCACCGCCTCTCCCCCTTTCCCTCTTGGATCTTCTCAGTAGAGTTAATTTTTAGTTTTTAGTTAAATCCAAATAAAGTGTTTTCAGAACCGTGACTATGTAAATATTATTCACTGCTGAGTCAACCAGTGCACTGTGGTTACATTCTCATCTAGAGTAACTTTTGTTTTCCCGTAGTTAATAATTACTATCATATTTCTATCTTAATTTTCTTTGAATATATGGCTGCTTCTTAAAGATGTTGGAATTTTAGATTATCTGTGCCCTCTGATATAGACAGACTTAACAAACCCACCCAGATAGTACATATAAAGTGTCAGTATAAAGTAATAAGACTGCTTTCCATGTGTGTCTAGTACAAGCAGAGGAAGCATGATGATAGCAATGACGTGTGTCCACAGACTTGAACTTTCACAAACAGTTGCACCAGCACTATTTGGTTGTGTGTCATTGTTTATAGGTTTTCTCTTTCTAATGATAATACCATATCCAGATACTACAGGAAAGTATTTTGTGTGTGTATGTATGTTTGTATGTATATGTATTTTTATATATACGGATGTACACATATATGTGATAGAAAGAGATAGTTCCCTGGAGTGTTAGCACTAACACTAGTGCTAAGTTACCACTTTCAATCAACCTTTTATTGCCTGCTAAGGTGAATAGAAGTGTATGTTTAATGCTGGCATAAAAGTGAATGTCATTATTTGGAACATATATTTTTTTGTGTGAAGTTAAGGAAATTAGCATGTGAAAACTTGACAAAGGAACTTAGCATGAAAAGAAATAGTGCTAAGGTCAAGAGGTCTGGATTATACAGATTTTTAAAGTTAACTTTCTGTTAAAGTTTAACATTTAAAAAGATGCAGATATTGTAAGTGTATAGCTTGATGAATTTTCACAAAGGGAACATGTCCATGTAACCAGCACCCAGATCAAGAAACATTACTAGTGTCCTAGAATTCCTCCTCATATCTCTTGCAGTATCTTCCCCCATCTCCCAAGGATGACCACTATCTTGGCTTCTAATGCCATTTGTTTGTTTTTTAAATAGATTTATTGAAGCATAATTGACACACTGTATACTGCACATATTTAAAATCTGTAATTTCATAAGTTTTGAAATGTATATATACACACACCTGGGAGGTTTTGCATATTTTTGAACTTTATAAATGGAGTAGTACAGTATGTACTCTTGTTTCTGGCTTTTTTGGTCACTATTATGTTTGCAAGATTTATTCATGTTGCGAGTGGTTATAATTTCTTAATTCTTATTCTTGTATAGTATTCCATTGTGTGAATATAACACAATGTGTGCATTTTAGTGTTGATGGATATCTGTGGTATGTTCAGTTTGGGGCTATCATGAATAATGCTGTTATGAACATTCTTGTGCATGTCTTCTGGTGAACATATATACCCAAGAGTGGAAATGCTAGTTTAGAGAGAATGCATGTTGTTCAGCTTTAATAGATACTGGCAGCAATTCCCAAAGCGGTAGTACCAATTTACATTCCTACCAGCAGTGTCTGAAATTCTTGGTTGCTCTACATCCTTGCTTATGCTTGGTATTAGAAATCTTTTTCATTTGTGCATATATGTAGTGGTAATACAGATGTTTCAATGAAGATGGACAAGCTGCTCCTTCATAATAAATTGGTCATGGAGGACTATAAAAATGTGAAAATCAGAGATTTAGTTAGGTCAAATGGTTGTTTAATTTGTGAGAATGGTAGTTTAGATTAGGTTTACATAAAGAAAGACTCATTCAGAAAGAAAGCCTTAACAGAGAACCTTTCTTTGGACATTATGCTATGCTTTTGAATTGTTGAAAGAAGATGATTTGACAGTTAATCTGACCTATGTATGGAAGCTAGACTTTTTTTTTTAAAAAGATAAGATTACTATTTAAAAAACAGTTTGAACAATGTTATTATCTAAATTCATGAAAGCTTGCATGTGAAAATCATGAAAGAAGACAGTATTGGTTTATTTTCTCACATTGAATTTATTTCTCAAGCTCAAATTATTAGGCTTTATTGGAATTCTGAAAAATTTGAGAAGTATTGTACAAGGAAAAGGAGTGAACCCAAAGTCTAGAGATTATTACTATTATTATTGTTGTTATTATTTAATCATGGTAACATTCCAGCTGGTGCCTTCTGTGAAAGCTTTTTAACATTTTAGAATAGCTTCTCTCTCTCTCTCAATCTTTCACAAACACACACAGACACATATACAAATATGTGCCAAAAAACAGTTATTGGTATTGTCTTAATTGCTGATCCCTCCTCCTCCTGCCCCAACTCATCTTCAGTTATCATTCTTGTCTCTAGTGAGTCTATTTAAAAAAAAAACCCATCTCACCAAGTTGTATAAGTATGTACAGCTTTATATATGTCAATCATATTTCAATAAAGTGGTTTTTAAATTTTTATTTATTATTTATTTATTTATTTTTTTGTGAGGAAGATTAGCCCTGAGCTAACATCTGATGCCAATCCTCCTCTTTTTGCTGAGGAAGACTGGCCTTGGGCTAACATCTGTGCCAATATTCCTCTACTTTATATAGGACTCTGCCACAGTGTGGCTTGACAAGCGGTGCATCAGTGTGCGCCCAGGATCCGGGCCTGCCCACCGTGGGCCGCTGCAGTGGAGCACGCGCACTTAACCGCTATGCCACTGGGCCGGCCCCTAACATGGGTTTTTAAAAAAACACACACACGCACATGACTTGAGCTCTGAAGACGATTCCAAATGAGAAATTCCAAACTATTTTGAGCATTTTTATGCTAAGTGGTACAAGTTCCAAAAATGACCTTTTCTAAAGGGATTAACAGGCATTTGGGTATAAAAATTCTATAGTGTTTTTAAAAAGTTTCATCACTTCATGGTCACATCTCATGTTTCTCAAATATTCTTAATTTAAACTTCCTTGGGATATTAGCGTCATGAACAAGATTGTGCCATTTTGGCAAATCATGTTTATTTCATGTTACTCATTTTCTATTAAATGCTTACACAGAGGCTGGCCCTGTGGCTTAGTGGTTAAGTGTGCATGCTCTGCTACTGGCGGCCTGGGTTTGGATCCCGGGCGCACACTGACGTACCTCTTGTCGAGCCATGCTGAGGCAGTGTCCCACATACAGCAACTAGCAGGATGTGAAATTATAACATCAACTATGTATTGGGACTTTGGGGAGAAAAAGGGGCAAAAAAAAAAAGAGGAGGATTGGCAATAGATGTTAGCTCAGGGCCAGTCTTCCTCAGCAAAAAGAGGAAGATTGGCATGGATGTTAGCCCAGGACCGATCTTCCTCACGAAAAAAAAAATGCTTACACAGATCTAAAATAAAATATTTAGATCTGATGGTAGTCCAGATTCTCTTATGTCAGAGTTTGATACAATACTACCCTCCTTTAACTTGAGCTTTTTTTGTAAACAACAATATCATTCAGCAGTGGGCTGTCCTTCATGCTGTTCCTGTTACTTCTCACACTCTTCCATTCTTCTTTTGTAATTTTTGAAATTTTTAATAGAAAAGAAAACAAATGAGAGATTTAAAATGTTTTCTTAGGTATTATATTATGTGGAAATTTTAAGATCAGATACATATCATTGACTAATGATCCAGTAGACCAGGGGTCTGTTTATTAAACCACAGCCATGCCCATTCTTTTATATAGTATCTTTTTTCCCCCAGTTTTATTGAGATATAATTGATATATAACATTGTATATGTTTAAGGTCTACAACATAATGATTTGATATATGTATATATTGCAAAATTATGTTAACATCTATCACCTCACATAGTTACAAATTGTTTTTTCTTGTGATGAGAACTTTTAAGATCTACTTTCTTAGCAACTTGCAAATATACAGTACAGTATTAAGTCTAGTCACCATGTTGTACATTACATCCCCAGAACTTATTCGTGTTATAACTGGAAGTTTGTAACTTTTGACCACCTTCACCCAATTCCCCCAGCCTCTGGCAACCACAAATCATACAGTGGATGATCTTTTCTCTGTCTGACTTATTTCACTTAGCATAATGCCCTCAAGGTCTGTCCACGTTGTTGCAAATGGTGAGATTTCAATCTTTCTTATGGCTGAATAGTATTCCATTATGTATATATGTATGTCACATTTTCTTTATCCATTTATCTGTCACTGGACACTTAGGTTGTTTAAATATTTTGGCTATTGTAAATAATGCTGCAATGAATATAGGGGTGCAGATATCTGTTTGGGATAGTGATTTCATTTCTTTTAGATATACACCCAGAAGTGGAATTGCTGGATCATATGGTATTTCCATTTTTAATCTTTTGAGGAACCTCCATACTGTTTGCCATAGTGGCTGCACCAATTTACATTCCTACCAACAGTGCACAATGTTTCCCTTTTCTCTACATCCTCACCAGCACTTGTTATCTCTTGTTTTTTTAATGATAGCCATTCTAACAGGTGTGAGGTGATATCTCATTGTGGTTTTGATTTGCATTTCCCTAATGATTAGTGATGTTGACCACCTTTTCATGTACCTATTGGCCATTTGAATATCTTCTTTGGAAAAAATGTCTGTTCAGGTCCTTTGCCCATTTTTTAATTGGATTGTGTGGTTTTTTTCCTATTGAGTTATATGAGTTTTTTATATATTTTGGATATTAACCTCTTATCTGATATATGGTTTGCAAATATTTTCCCCCATTCCGTAGGTTGTCTTTTCATTTTGTTGATTGTGTCCCTTGCTGTGCACACTTCCATTCTATTTTTTCGTTTTTCTAGTGAGGAAGATTAGCCCTGAGCTAACATCTGTTACCAATCTTCCTCTTTTTGCTGAGGAATATTAGCCCTTAGCTAATATCTGTGCCCATCTTCCTCTATTTTGTAAGTGGGACGCTGCCACAGCATGGCTTGATGAGCGGTGCAGAGGTCCATGCCCAGGATCTGAACCTGTGAACCCCAGGACGCCGAAGCAGAACACATGAACTTAACCACTGTTCCACCAGGCTGGCCCCGTGCTTCCATTTTTAAAGCTTGTCAGGTTTTTGATTCAGACATACCTGCCAGGAAACTATAATACCAGTGCTCTAAGACTGTTGAGGTGACACTCTGGGGTTTTGTTTTGATTCTGTTTCTAGCTGTGTGATCTAGGCTCAGTCTTTGTTCCTCAGTTTTTCCATTTGTAAGGCAGAGGTAAGAAAGCTGACAGTATCTGAGGAGAGTATTATTTTTTACTGAATGCTTAATATGTGACAAATGATGTATTTAAATGCCTTATATGCTCTTACTCATAATAATATAGCATTCTTATTGTTGTAGATACTCTCATTTTTATAATTTGACAGATGAGGAAACTGAAGCATAGAGAGGTCAAGTAACTTGCTCAAGGTCACCTGCCTGGAACTGGCAGTGCTGGAATTCAAACCTAGGCAGTTTAGATCCAGAGTCTGTATTCTTAATCACTGTGATATCCCCTGGAACTCTTTGCAGTAGTGCAGTAGGAATCTTTTTTTCTTATGGATCAATAATACTTTTTATACTAACCATTTGTTTCCATAAAGCCTGTGGAAGAGATACAAAGAGTGACATACTCTAAGAGAGAGAACCTGAGTGATGGTGGTATCAGTATTTATGGAGCCTGGTAATGTGCTTGACATAGAAATGTTGACTTCTCATAGATAACCTTTGGTGGTTTGTAACTGTGCAACTATAGGTCAAGAGGGAGCATATTCGTGTCTCCTCTACCTTTCTGGTATACCTCCCTACTTCCTAGGTCAGTACTGTCCAATAGAAATATAATGGGAGCCACATATTTTAAATGTTCTCTTAGCCACATCAAAATAAATAAAAAGAAACACAGGAAATGAATTTTAATATTTTATTTAACTGAATATATCCCAAACATTATTAACATGTAACCAAGATATTTTGCCCACTTTTGTTTTGTTTTTGGACAAAGTCTTAGAAATCCAGTGTGTATTTTATACTTACAGCACATCTTAATTTGGACTAGCCACATTTCAAGTATCCGTAGCTACATGTTTCTAGTTGCTACTATATTGGACAGTTAACCATAGCTAATACCTGGGACTAATTTCAGTTATGATTTAAGTCTGGACCATAGGACTTCAGGAGTCTAATAATCTATAAGTTGTATATTTTGAGGAAAAAGAGTTTTGTCCGCACATTGTCTTTTCCTATTTTCATAAATTAGAGTTAAATGGTACCATTCCCCATTAGAAAAATATTTTGGTGAATTTCCTTAGAAATAGTAACATTTTCATTAGGAGATTTAGCTCCAGCAACCTTTTTGATGCAGCAGTTCTTTTTCTTTTTTTTCTAGACATCAACAAGTTTCTGTGGATGGTCCGGATTGGAGGGAGCACAGACACAGGCAAACATATTAAGGAGCATGATTATTATACTCCAACTGGGGAATTCCGTGTGGACCGTGAGGGTTCTCCAGTGCTGCTCAACTGCCTTATGTACAAGATGTGTTACTACCGCTTTGGACAGGTCTACACAGAAGCCAGTGAGTGATTCATACTAACACTAATGACAATAGTAAGAACAGTGATAGCTAACGCATATAGTGTTTTTCATATGCCAGGCACTGCTCTAAGTGCTTTACATCTATTAACTTATTTCATCCTCACAACAACCCAAAGGGTAGATACTAATATTATTCCTATTTTATATATGAGGAAATTGAGGTATAAATAGGTTACTTAACTGCCCAACGTCACATTACTAGTGGCAGAGTCAGTTTAAACTTAGGCAGCCTGGCTCTAGATTCTGTGCTTTTACCCATTACTTTTTATTGCCTCTCAGTAAAAGATATTGCAATGGAGAAAGGAATGAAGGGGGATAGAGTGAGATAAACGACTTATCATTTTTTCAGATAAATACATTGATAGTAATTTGATTAGGTTAAGTCTCTCCTTCTGACTTCAATTTCTTGGTTCTGCACTAGGGACAATTTCTGAAGCAGATGCAGGCCTTTGACTTCTGCTAGGTTCTTCTCTGATCCATGGAAGCGTTACTGGTGTATCACAGAGGCCTCTGGGTGGCAATCCTCAGGAATAGAGGGGCTTGGAACTCAGCCCCCTATCTCTTAAAAGAGATAACCTCCATGGACTCTGCCAAGCATCATCTTGGAGAGAACTTGAGTTAGGGTAACACTTGATTTGCCCTTAGTATCTGATGTCCTTTTCTGCAGGTCTTACTCTCTATAAACAACTGTAGGCTGAGGAGTAACATTCCAATTAGTGGACAATTTACCAAACTGATTTACTATTTCTTCAGGAAATCAGCACTATAGAAGGAAGTGTGTCTCCTTTTTTGTCCCTTTCTAGAGCGTCCACCAGGCTTTGACCGTGTCCGGAATGCTGAGATTGGGAATAAAGACTTTGAGCTTGACGTCCTGGAGGAAGCATATACCACAGAACATTGGCTAGTCAGGATATACAAGGTGAGCAGATGCTTCAAATGCTTCAAAATGGGCCACATATTTCTAAAATAGGGACATTTCTAATGTCTGAAAAGTAGCTTGCAACTCACTCAGAATTTTACTATTTTTATTTTAGATTGTTTTTAGAAAGACGCCTCAGTCTGCTGTCATTTTGGCAGTGGTTGCAGTGATAGTTTTTCCAGTTGGGCCTGTACTTGATCTGTTTTAGTGATTATCAGGCTTAGATGGGGTAAAAAAGAGAAAGTGTCTATGTTTGTGTTTTCGAACTACATTTTCTTCTCTCCCGCTGAAGAATTTATGGCATAGAGAGTCACGTAGAAGTGTGTTGTATCTCTTATGTAAGAAAAGATTGAGAACCCTTGGTACATTTGGAGAGTAGATCATTTATACTGCCCCTAACAGAGGTACTCCAAAAGGCTAAGCAGAGAGCAGCTAGTCTCAAACCGGTGCTCGTTTAGTCACAAAGCCAAACCAGGGAGCAGAATCCAACATACTCCCTTCTTGTCTGGGTGAACCCAACCCAGTAGAAAAGCTCTCCTAAGCTGATCTGATTGTAAATATTAAACTGACATCTTTATGTTGCAGGTAAAGGACCTGGATAATCGAGGCTTGTCAAGGACATAAATGTTACATCCAGCTCCGATATGCTTCGCACTGAGCGCGTCACATTTAGGACGCTGAAGATGTTTTTAAATATGCAGTTTATAAGAACAGAGCACGATGGGATTAGAATTGTCTGGAATTTTTGCCCTGGGTAGTATGGGCTGGGTCAAATGCAATGATTTTTATAATTTTGAGCAGGTTACCAAATGAAATGTCATGGCTTTACTTTGGTCAATTAAAGGGGGGGATTTTTTTAAAAATGTGCCTTATTCGTTTTGACTTATGACTGATTTGAGGAAGGCAAAAGTTTTTGCTGGGCTGATAGGACAGAAAGCAGACCTCATCCATGTTCTTTGCTCCCTAAATGAGCCACGTAGGGACATTCTGTCTTTCTCAAATCAGGAAAACTATCAAGGACTAGCTCAGATCCTACATATACAAATAATTTTGTCAATTCAAAAATTGCAGCACATAGCACGATGCCTTGCACATAGTGGGTGCTCAATAAACTTTTTTCAAATGAATAAATATTTGTGGGACCAGAGGAGTGGATTTCTGGGCAGGAAAGGCAGCTTTGTTGCCATCATGTCTCTGTTCTGAACATCTCTTGTCCTTAGAGGCTCTTTTTGCAAGGGACAGAAGGTGGCTAGCCATACCTGATCTCAGCAATTTTTTGGGACTAGATAGGTTTTTTTTTTTGAGCAGGAATAAATCAAGTAAGACCAAAGTCAGCAGTTTTGAAGACTCAGGGCAAACAGTAGAATTATTGTTATCAAGGTAGAGGGAAAAACCCCTCCAACATTATGTATAGAACTTGGTCAGTAGGTGTTTTTGAAATCAGCTGAAATATAATCATACATATCTATTTGAAATCCAGCTTTTCAGTACTCTCACTTATCCATGATACAGTAAATGTCTCTGCTCATTTGATTTAGCTTTTGCACTAAAACTCTTGTGATTATGTAAGGGGGGCTTCTTTTTCCCTTAGTCTTATCCTATTTGTTGTTATTAAATATCACTAACAAGCTTGATGATCTGGTTTTGAAGCCCTTGCCAGACAAGCTACAAATTAGAAGGGGGAAGAATTGCTATTAGCAGGTACCTAGAGAGCAGTGCTAGCCTAACTGCAGGGGAAGAGAAACTTTAAAAATAATTTTAACTCAAAACACAGTAGTAGTCCCATCGATATTTAATGTCAGGACAAACAGCTTTATGTTCAGTACAGTAGGACATTATATGTATTTTACAACATAAGACACATATCAGTGATATATATATAAACCCTAAGTCATTAGAAATAATACAGGGTAACTGTTTAGTGTTACCTCTTTAAGAAACAGGAGCAATTACATGGCTTTTAGATAAGTCAAAATGGTGCTCCTAAAGGGTATGCTCAGGTATACTTGTATACCCAGGAAACAGCCTTCCAAACCAATTTATATACCAAGCGCTTCAACTGTGGGTGAGATTTAGATTTGATGTAAGATTTGATTTACTGTATGTAAATACATTACTTGATATATATACAGAATTCCTTCCTAGTGGAAGAGCTTATTCTGAGGGTTTTTTTTTTCTTCTTTTTTTTACCTATATGAGTAATACCAGTTAGAGATCATTAGTGATCTTCATCTATAGTATATATGGGATAACCCTTTCATTTATCACTATAGTTGTTGCTCTTACGATTTTAATTTTGTTACCTTTCTAGGCTACATGAAGCTATCTTTTTAAAAAATTTACGTTTCTTTTTTCATTGTTATAGTGCTCTTAGTGTAAAAATAATAAAATAATTCTAAAAAGCAACAACACTGTTTTGCACCCCCTAGAGGCAATGACTTTCAACTCTGCTGATTCTCACATTACTTACCTCCATATCATTAAATAATTTGCTTTATTTTGGTATGTGTTGGTTTTTCAATTTTAGGTTGACTTTCTGGTGTGGAAATGGAGGATTTAGCTCTTTTTCCCCATCCTGCTGTTCCCATGGCCACACTTGTTCTTACCATCTTTAAGCTTCTATTATAGTTATGATTTAGGTTAGCTCCATAGGTTTTACCTTATGGCTTTTCACAACTAGACCATGTGGTATACTGTTACTATTTTTTCTCTGCATAACGTTTTTTCGGAGGGAGATTTTTCATTTGTTTTTTTGTACTTGTCACTAATTTCTCCCCAAACTCTCCTTCATTTGTGCCAACTAATCCTTTTATTTATTTATTTTTTTTTAAAGGTAATCTTTTTTATTTATTTATTTATTTTCCCCCCCAAAGCCCCAGTAGATAGCTGTACGTCATAGTTGCACATCCTTCTAGTTGCTGTATGTGGGACGCGGCCTCAGCATGGCCAGAGAAGCCGTGCGTCGGTGCGCACCCGGGATCTGAACCCGGGCCGCCAGCAGCAGAGCGCACATACTTAACCGCTAAGCCACGGGGCCGGCCCCCAACTAATCCTTTTAATATGTTCAGACTTATTAGATTAACTCATTCTTAGAGATGTCTTCTGTTTTGGTATGTCCCAGTTTGGATTGGTTTACTCTAGATTACACACTTCTTGGGTTGGTGTGTTCTTTCACTGTCATTTTGTGTGTGTTAATCCTCTGATTTCTTTGATTTATCACCTCTAAGTACCTTCTTGAGAAAGCCTGTGGGAGATAAATTTCTTGAGATCTTGCATGTTTCTTGTGACATTTAATTGAGAGGTGGGCTAGGTAGAGTTGCAGGTTGGGAAGAAGTTTTCCTTAGAATTATTTTAAAGGCATTGGCCCATTATTTTCTATTTTCTACATGTTGAGAAATGCAATGCTATTCTGATTCTTAATTTTTTTGTATGTGGCCATTCCCTCTCATTCCCACCCCAGACCTCTTAGGATCTTCTCTTTGTATGTAATGTTTTGAAATTTTCCTAATGATGTGTCTTGGAGTGGGTCATCCATTGTGCTGGGTACTTTAAACTTTTAAGTATAGAAAATCAAGATCTTCAGTTAAGGGAAATTTTCTTGAGTTATTTGTGGATTCCCTCAACTCCCTTTCTTTTTCTGAAAAATAAGTTATTTGGATGTTGGACTTCCTGGATTAGTCTTCCAATATTCTTATATTTACCCTTCTGTTTTCCATCTTTACTCTTCCTTCTGGGAGATTTCCTAAACTTTTTTTTCTAACATATCTATTTAATTTCCTTTTTTTCTGCTATCATATTTTTTAAATGTCCAAGAGGTTTTTTGTTTGAATATTCCTTTGTTTTGACATTTTTCCTATTAAAGGCCTTTTCAAATTCTTGGTTGTCTGCCCTTTTTGAAGAGTGGGACCCTAAAAAGTTGATTGTAAGGGCTCTTTGGGGTGGGGTGGGGCTTATTGAATGTGGGCTTCCCTCTCCTGTGATCTGAGTTGTTAGGAAGTCCGGATATTGGTATCTTTTGATCTTTTCTTTTATATAGATAAGATTCCCTGGAGAAGGCATGTATATCCTCTTAAGGATACAAGCCAAGCTGCCAGATTTCTGGGAGTAAAGTGGGGGGAAAAAGGCTTAGAGGTTCTACTTTCAGTGCATAAACTTAAACTTGATCCCTTTGTTTTCAACAGCCTTTAGCTATGCCTGATGCTGTCCAGTTCAGATACCACCTGTTACCCTCTCAAGTCTTGTGTCTGTTTCAGGGAGGGGCAGTTCTTTGGGTATACAGAGGACAGAGGGGATCCAGGGGTTTATTTGCTTCTTACATAGTCTTTCAACCTACCCTCTTTTTAGCCCCATGTTCACCTCCACATTCAGTTACCTGGTGTTGATAATTCTACTTGAGCCTTTGGGAGTTCTGGGATGCAAATCATGTTGCTTTTCTGCTTTCTCATTGCTGGCGTTAGGATTCATCTTTCTTTCATCTAAGTTACCTTTCATCTAAAGATTTTCCACTTTCCAAAAGGTTTTTTTTCATACTCTATTCTTGTGGGTTATTGCCTTTTAAAAATTTACTATTTTAAAATAGTAAATTTTACTATTTTGTTATTTTAATATTTACTATTAAAATTTACTATTTTAGTAAAGTTTCAGAAGAGAATAGAGGCTACTGTGTGCATTCGTTCATTCTCCCACATGCTATCTTGCAGTAGTATTCTGCCTGAATCCTGTATACTAATTTTTTTCAGGCTAAAATACCTTAATTCCATCCAGACACATAGGAACTGTACAGATCCTCCTCTCTCTTCATATTCTTTGTTTGCAGCACACAGTGCAGAAACTACAGAAAATGGAGTAAATGACCTCGAAAACTTTATTATATGAAGCCTGAACTGTGATGTCATGGTTAAAAACTTCTTGCGTAAGCATTTTGAAATGTTCTGGTCTTGTTTTTTTTGGCCCTGACTTTGCTACTTTAAGACACATGTATGCAATTTTGTGTAACATATTTTACACTTAACTCTATTACCGGTATCACAGGCAAGAGCAAGTTATGGCTCAACGTATGTGGCCCAGTTTTAAGAACTGGAGAATTGAATGGAGATGATCTTGCCTGCGTCTTGAGTTCCCAGTCTAGTTTACTGTCAAGGGGGTATACCTATTTCAGTTTTTCCACATTATTTTGCGCTCAAGCAAGTCCCCTTTCCCTGAATTTACTTTCCCATTTAAACTGGTTACTTTTAACATTGGCATTGTAAAATGAGGCGAAACGCCTTTTTGCTTCTACCTGCCTGTATCTTACACATTAAGAATGAAAAAGCGAGTAGAACTAAGCTATGCAGATGCTCCTACTTTACGAAGGTTGGGCTAAGGTCTTGTTTTGGAGCCAGTTCAGACATGATAAGATTGGTTATCCTGACATGACCTCAAACTACAAATAAATAGCTTTCTTCATCCGGGCGCGTTCCCACCCTCATTCCTCTGTGGCCAGTCTTTTTTGATGCTTCTGGCTCCCACCACAAAGTTCCTTTCACTCTTCAAAAGATCAATTACAACAGCAGCTCTTAGCTTCTCCGCTCTCGTTTTTTCTGTAGCGCACTTTAAAGTTACATACAGAGGCAACAGTCATTGCATGTGATCCTCACAATCCTGCCAGCAGCCGGGCGAGGTGCTCGGAGCTCCTGAGCTGGTCGGCGTAGGCACGTATCCCGCCCGCCCGCCAGGTCCAGAACAGAGGGGGCGCGAACGCGAGGACCGCGCCGCCCGCTGTGTCAAGGCACATCTCCGGAGGGGTTTCGGCTCCGCCCAGGAGCGTGAGGGCCGCCTGGCCGAGGTCCCACACCGGAGACCATTTCGCGTCTGGGCCCAGAGATCATGCGCACTGATGCGGAGGGCAGTTCTTAAATCTCTTCAGCCAGGACCTTGCCTCGACTCCAAAGTAACCCAAGGCCCGGCCTGCTTAAACTTGGGGGTAACCTCCCGGCGCCCGCCACCTGAAGCGGCCACTCTTACGGCAGCGGTCACGGGAACGCGCGCTTTCCTGCTTTACGGCAAGGGTGCGCACGTTTGCGACCGTGTGACGCGAGCAAGTTTTGGCGGGAAAAGCGCCGTATTTGGATTCCTGTGGTGGCAGGCAAAGGACGGCCTGGTGAGGAGGGGCGGTCGGTAGGGTGGGTAACCAGTTTGGAGAAGGAGTTCGGGGTCCACATTAGTTAGGAGGGGCACGGCGAGAGAATGTTACCGGGGACAGGCGAAGGGGATCGGAGAGACTCCCACGGAGGGCGGTTTCGGAGGGTGGAGGAGTACTGGGGGTCCCCATTGTAGAGGGACTGGAGAGACCAACTCTCTGCTGGCTGAGAACCCCAGGGGTTTGGGCCCCGGCCGTCCGTCTGCCACCCAGCCCTTCCGCTTCTTGGGGCAGTTTGGCCCCGCCCCGGCTCCTCCCGGCCTTTGGGACGGGGTGAGAGTGGGTATTGGGACTGAGCAAGTGGGGAGGAGGGGCTGCAGTGGTCGTAGTTATTATTTCCGCCCCCATGAGGCCGCATCCTCTTACTCTCCGACCCAAACCCCACCTCTTTCACCCTCTTCCCCAGTCATCC